GAGGAACTGCATCCATATAATCATATTGCAATGTGGCTTCTTTTTTAAAATACACATTATTAACACCAAAAACTATCACAGAGTTAGAAATATGAAACATTTACAACAACTAGAACTAATAACATTGATAATAATGGCTGTTTTCATTCAGCTGTTCTGGAGCACAGCGATGGAAGAAGAAACACCATGAAGTAAAAATACTGATACCACACTGTAGAAATATTCTGTTACAGTACAAGTCCTGCCTTAGAAATGTTTCTTCAGTAAATGTCTGTAATATATTATATTATGTAATATTATATAATATGTATTATTATTAGTAGTAGTATAAAATTATTATTTATTTATATTATTTCCATCTATTGATTATTTTCCTCCATTAATCGATTGTTTGCTTTGTAAAGAAAAATAGTGAGAAATGTTTGTTACGATGAGCCGGAGCTCAAAGTGAAACATTATTTTCAACATTATCACTGATTCATTACAATTATGAACATTATTTAAAGGAAAAGCAGCAGATCTTCACATATACATCATATTCTACTGTTCAACTTGAGTTCATTGTAAATATTTACATTTCTCTTAGCAAAGGCTCAATATCTTTTTGTTAGAATATTGAGCCTTTACTAAAATATCTTAGATATCTTATCTCTAAAAATTGAGAAAATAAAAACTCAATTTATCTTTGTATGTTGTGACATTACAGTTAAACCAGTTAGAGGCTGCTGTTTATACCAGTATCTGAACTGGTGACTGTAACGTTGAAAGTGTTCCTGAGATATGATGATGAGTAATGGACAGAAGCGTTTTATGCAGAACATGATGTCACAGTGAAGCTGACCTTTGACCTTTTGGATATAAAATGTCATCACTTCATTTTATCCTGTCAGACATGTGTGTGAGGTTTTGTCATTATTATCATATGAATCTTTGAGTTATGGCTGAGAACATATTTTTCCAAATTTGAAGGAATTACCCAGAGGTGTTCCTGAGATGAGACAGACACAAGGTCACAGTGACCCTGACCTTTGACCTCCAAGTTCTCTCGAGTTAATCCTATATTCCAGGTGGACGTTTGTGCCAAATCTGAAGAAAATCCCTTGAAGGTGTTCTTGAAGTGCTGCGTTCATGAGAGTGGAGTGGACAGATGGACAACCTGACAACATAATACGTCCGTCCTTGGCTATCGCTGGTGTGGAGGCAGTTTCTGACCATGACGTTCCTGTCGTTAAATAGTCATCAGATTTAATATAAACACAGTGAAGATAAATAGACCTTTATGCATCATCCATCTGACACCACATTCTGACGCCTGATCTTCGTCTTTAACTTTCTGTCTTCATTCATGGCTGAGGATCCTGTTTGTTGTTATTTTTAACTAATAATTGTGTCGACCACTTTATTCATTAATTTAAATATTCTCTCAGCCTGTGTGTCAGTGACGTCTCCTCTGAGCTCAGGTCTGTGTGTTGTGATGTCAGAAAGAAGCGACAGAGTCATGAGTGAAAAAACAGAGAAATGGTTTATTTTAGTAAATAGTGGGAGCTTCTCACTGCTGTACAACACTGGCATCTGTAGTTGGCACTCTTTAAAGGGACAATCCACCCAAAAACAGAATTCACACCCAGTCAGTCAACGTCTCGGGATCATAACTGCTGCCAGCTCTGTTTACAGGAGGATCTGCTTTGTTTTCAGTTTTCTAGTCTTTTTTTTGTTGTTGTTCAATAACCCCCCAAAACAGCAGCAGCAGCCTCTGGGACACACGGTACCAAACGAAACCAGGAAATTTAAAAAAACAAAGAAACAGAAAAATCAAACGAAAGGCACCCAAAAGCCACAACAGACAGAAGTCAGCTGAACAACTGAAACTACACAGACATGCAACTCACATCGATTTACACTGAGCTATATACGGCATGCAAAAACAACACTGCTCTGAACAGGGGCTGATCCACAGCACACACACACACACACACACACACACACTCTCTCTCTCTCTCTCTCTCTCTCTCTCTCTCACACACACACACACGCTACAGATCAATGTTTTTCTGTAAAATACGAACGGTGAGTCGGCTCCTGAACAGACGACTACTCATGTCCACATCATGGAGGCTGAAGATCCACCCAGACACTGGTCTTTGCCCCCCCCCACCCCCACCCCCCGCCCTCCACCACCCAACATCACGTGGTTCATCGAGCCTGAAGCTCCAGGTTAACGTGAACGGTTAATAACGGCATTGAAGACTAAACCAAAAGACACCAGCTGATTTCTGTGAACGGGACCTTCTGGAGGTTTCCATGGTGACCAGAAGATTAAAGAAACAGAAGAAAGGGGCGGGGCCAACCAGGTGATCTGATCAAACAAACACCTCTACCTGAGGCAAAGTAAACATCATCATCATCATCTGATTGAACTGGAAATATTGTCACTGTTGTTCTGATCTCAAAATTATTCATTCTAAATTTGAGAATGGTTGTGACAGCTTAATGCTAACACGTTTCTTACACTGTTAATAGATCATTTGACGCTCATTTGTCCTTCGGACATTCTGGATAGATTTTCAGTTTAGAAACGAGACGTGTTCTAGAATCAGAACGTGTGGGGTTCCAACGTGAAAATGTGTTCAAGGATGTTCTACGTCTCCGTGTTCTACGATGTTCTAATCTGCTTGTTCTAGACTTTGTAGTTCTGTATTTAAGATAAATCAAATCTTTAAAAAACAGATGTGGTGAAAGCATATCTTCTAGAATCCCAGACTGAGAACGCACGTATCCAAACCACATTTCAAAACAGCGTCTCCGTCTCTCTGGAATATTTCAACCTTCAACAAAATGTTTTTGTATTTAAAAAAAGAGGGCTCATGTTTTTGAAAGAATTTCAGGGCAGTCAATGTTAGAGATTCTAGAACCAGAACAAGTTACTGAAATGTTCTAGAACTCAACACCACATCCTGAGACTGACGATTCCTCCCCAACTGGGAGTGTTCTGGAGTCACAATGTGTGTGGGTCCCAACATGAAAATGTGTCCTCTAGAATGTTCTAGTCTCCAAGTTATAGGATTTTCTAATCTGCGTGTTCTAGAATTTCTCGTGTATTTTACAAAAAAAGACTCTAGAACGGAGAGAAATGTGGTGAAACGACATTTTCTAGAATCCTAGACTCCAGACTGAGAACACACGTATCCAGACCACATTTCAAAACAAGTCTCTCCATCTCTCTCCAGAGTCTGAAGCTGAAAGCAACCTGTTCACCCTTCAACAAAACGTTGTTGTATAAAAATGGCGCTTTCCAGAAAAAAAAACAACAACAAAAAACTGTTCCGATTCTAGAATCAGAACAAGTCATTGAAATGTTGTAGAACTAAACACAACATCCTGACACCGACAATTCATCTGCAACCGGGTGACAGATTCTGGGATAGATACTGAGTTTTCCAAAATGTTCTAGAACACTACAGCCCAAGACTGAGAATTCATCCTGAACTGGGCATGTGCTAGAACCAGAATGTGCAGGGTTAGGTGTTTTAGAAGCTTCTAGTCTATATTCTAGGATTTGTGGCTGTGTATTTTAGTGAAATAAAATTAAAATGTAAAAAAGATTCTAGAACAGTGAGAAATGTGGTGAAATGATATACTCTAGAATCCCAGACTCCAGACTGTGAACGCATGTATCCAAACCACAACAAGAGTCTTAGTGCTCTCTGGAATCTGATGCTCAAAGCAGACATGTTCACCCTTGTTTAAGAAATGGCTCGCACAGTTTTGATGTGATGCATTCCAGAAAAGCAGTCATGAATGTGCTTAAACTTTAGATTCTAGAACCAGAACAAGTGATTTAAATTTGAGTGAAATGCTCTAGAACTCAACACCACATCTTCAAAAGCCCAACTGGGCATGTTCTAGAACCAGAGCGTGGAGGAGTTTCATAATGTGTGATGGGACACATCCCACAGAATCAAACCACAGATTCTAGAACACAAGCTAACAGATGACAGATTCCAGAATCAAAACAACAGTTTTCCAAAAATGTTCTAGAACACCTTGGCCTGAGACTGAAGGCTGAGTATTCATCCATGATCGGGCATGTTCTAGAATCAGAAGGCGTGGGGTTCTGGAGTCTCCATGTTCGACAATCAGATGGAATACGTTCCACGAAATCAAACGACAGATTCTAGAGCAGATGCTAACAGATGATTCCAGAGTCAGACCAAGAGTTTTCCAAAATGAAACAAAATGTTCTGGAACACCACATCCAGAGACTGAGAATTCATCTCACACCTGGTGTGTTCCACAATATCAAGTGGCAGATTCTAGAACAGTAACCAAGCGTCAATCAATTCTAGAATCAGAACAAATGATCTTCACAACAGAACGTAATGTGGTGGAACCCATGGTGTGGACTCAAACTAGAAGTGTGTTGTAGATTTAAAACAGTTGGGATCCAGAATGAAAATCTGCTGGTTTGGAAACATTTACGTTCTTGAAAACATTTAGTTTTTTGATGTTCAAGTCCCTTCAGGCACATGAAACGTGGATCAGGCAACATGGCTATTTATGCTAATGTCACTGTGGTGGGTGGAGCTACATCAGCTAGAGCACAGGACTGTGGGAGAAAGAGAATCTTCTATTGCCCCCCCGCCCCCGTGACTGAGTTCTAACTGTTAAAAAGGGGGAGCGCTTTATAGGGAGCAGTGAAACGACTGTAAGGGAGGAGCGCCCGGACCAGAGTCCGTTAAGAAAAGGAGAGACGTATCAGTCAACGTACGATTAAAGAAAAAAAACAATCCTACAAACCAACCAGATTCAGTGGAGTTCAGTTGGGATAAAATCTTCAGTCATTGTGGTTGAAATGTGAATTTCAGCCGTGAGCATCTAACGAGGTAATATACAGTATACACAGGACAGGAGGGCGGCGACATAAAACAGGTAATATACAGAGGAAACAAGGCGTCGCTAAGTGTCAGCTCATATAAACATATAAAAGCAGAAGAGAAGAAGAAGGGGACAGAATTTATAAAAACATTTAAATCAACTTCCAACAGATGATGATCTCATAACAAGCCACATCTGTGCTCGAGTCCAGCCAATCAAAATACAGCGCCTCAGACAGGGGGCGGGGCATCATGACTGCTACAGTTTCACCTTCACCACGGTTCAGTTGTGGCAACATTTTGGTTTTGATTTGAACTCAGGACTGATCAGAACTGATCGATACTGCATCAGCTGTCCGAGGGAATCAATTAAAGGAACATTCAGACATTTTGAGAAACACTTAAGTCGTTGCTCCACGACCAACACATTATTTTACGTTTATAAGCAGAATATAAACATGTAATAAATGGTTAATAACACACTGTAATGTAGCTGTAAGCAGATATAGACGTGTTTATTAATGTGAGATTTATACTTCTGCGTCTTTAATTTCACATATAAGAAACAATAAATTGTGAAGAAAATCAAATAAAAATAAATCAGCTAGCTGCTAAGCTAATTTATACAATGTAAAATGCCATAGGCTTGTGCTAATAACGTTAGCATGTTGTATTTGTGGGGAAAATGTGTCCAGATAAGGTCCAGAGTCCAGATCAGCAGTCTGTGAATGCTGTGAGTGAAGCTGATTTGTGTTTGAAACAGTCTCTATTAAGACATGTTTAATGTGTGTTTAATGTGTATTTGACGTGTGTTTAATGTGTTTTGGAGGTATAACTGCAGAGTGACTCAAGTATAAATGCTCACAACGGCGTAAGGTCTGCCTCACAACTATAAATCCCCCTTTAAAGGGAAGCATTGAAGATTTTCAGCCGGCTCTGTGTCATGGTAGTGAGGGCAGATGATAGTTGTTTGGCTTCCCTTAATGACACCAGCGCCCGGAGCTCCCCTTCACTTACTGGCGGATTTCGAAGACGCATTTAATGTCACACAGCATCTAGACGCTGGCTACATGGGAGGAAGCCAAACACTATCCCATCACACTGTGATGACACAGAGCTGCAGCGATTCAATGAATAGCTGTCGTTGATTAAATTAATCACCAACTAATTTAAAAATCAATTTGAGTTATTTCTTAAAGGAAAAAAAGTTAAAATTCTCACTGAAACTTCTTAAATACGAATACTTCCTGGTTTATTTCCTCCTCTGTGGCAGTGCACTGAATATTTTTGGGTCATGGACAAACCAAACATTTGAGGACATCATTTTTCACCATTTTCTGCCATTTTATAAACTAACTAATTGATTAATTGAGAAAAGAGCTGATTGATTTATCAACAATAACAGTGTCGTTAGTTGAAGCCCTGGATGACACAGAGCTGGTTGAAAATCAGCAAAGATTCTATTTAAAATCTACAAATCAGAATTCTGTCTTTATAGCAGACGTTAAAAAATACTACAAATTAATAAACACTTACATCCACCAACACTGCAGTGTGTTATAAACCATTTATTAAATGGTTATAATCTGATTATAAATGTTGAGCAGCTGAAACACATCTGGACGTCTGATAAACGAGGATTTCCCAAAATACGTCTGTTCCTTTGAATCTGGAGCAGATTCCATGAAGAGTTTGTGTGAACATATTTCATCATCAATACTTGGACACAGCTTGTTAGCAAGATTAGCATCATTAGCATTCCTGCTGTAAACTGAATCAGGGCGGCGACCAGGAGCGCGACCTGTGAGCAGCAGTTTTATGAGGACAGCTGCTCTCAGACTGCTTTGGACCAACTGATGCAGCTGAACAAACACACCTGAGCCTCTTCGACCATCTGATGTCAAACTGAAAGTCATTCTGGGTAACGTAGGAATCAACAGAAAAAAAAAAGACAAAATGCTAAAATAATGGAGAAAGAAAAGAGTCTCGTGTCCTCTCAGCGGCGTCCTTCAGACTTTATTCCACTCAGCGTCTTTGTTCGTTAGCAGGTGACCTGCAGGGAGGCGGGGTCAGTAAAATGCTCTGTGATTGGAGTTCCTCCTGTGTGACCAGAACAGTACACCTTCTATAGATACAGATGGAGACAGACGATGGTTCGGCTTTCAGTCCCGTCCCTTCATTAACCCCGGCAGACTCAGACCTGTCTGCCCCCCCGTCCTCTGATGACGGAGGTCTGGAGCGGTCTGACAGGGTTTCAGGAGAGGGGGGAGGAGGTCTTTCTGTTCAATTAAACAGTTTCAGACCTGCTGCGACTCTGCAGGAAATGATATCTGGGCCATCAGGGGAGCTTTTTGTTTCGTCTGGAGGATCTCAGGGTCGGGTCCTCGCAGAAGTTTTTGTTTATTGTGGCCACAAATGTTCCAGAATCTAATTTAACAACGCAGGTTTCAGTTATTCCAGATAAAACAGGGTCGCTGGTCTTCTTTGTGTTGGAGGAAACGTCCTAACAGAGTCCACAGAGATCTGGACACTAATGATAGATGATGGATTCACCTGAAGACCTGGAGCTGGTTGTAGTTTTCCTGTCTTGGTGGGGGGCAGGTATTTTTCTTGTGTTTAAGGCGTTTCAGAAAACAAAGAGTGAAGGGTGGTATCATCTGTCTCAGGCGTCTCTATAGATGGTGGATGTTTTAAACCCTAGCTGTAGTTTTACTTCAGTGGGGGGGTTTGGTGGGATTTTTTTTCGGTGGGTCTAGGCAGGTCTCGGTAAGTCTCTGTGGGGGTCCTGGACCGGGTTTTCTGGTCTTAGGAGGTCTTGACCAGGTCGTAGACATAGATGTGGAAATCATCGTCGAACTTGATGAAGTAGACGGAGGGCTTGGCCTCCACCTGGTGGATGACCATACCCGACCGCTTCCCGCCGTCCTCTTTGGCGTACTCCACCTGTTTGCCCACCAGGCTGTCGACCACCTCGCCGGGTTCCCGCTCTGCCGCCACACTGTCGTCTGCAGAGAGGAAGACAGAGACAATAAAATGAAGTAAGAATTAAAGATGAAAATGAGACTAAAACTATTGAAACTAATGATAAAATGAGTAACACGTGGCTGAAAAACTTTAGACGAAAGACTCAGAACCATTTCACATCAAAATCAGCACGTGTACACAGACTGTTGAAACATGGGTAAACCTCTAAAAGTAGACGATCGACTCCTTTCCCTTTCTGCCAAGCAGCAGACGAGTTTTGGTGTGTCAGGTCAACGTCACAGACAGGCCACAGAACGGGTTAACAGTAGACAACAATATGAAATATGTGACAGCAGCACGGGGGAAAGAAAACTTGTTTCCTTTTGTCTCTTACCTTCTCACTCTCTGGATTGATGTTTGAGCGCTGCTCAGATGGAAATAGTCATGCTGTGACACATTGCATCTCACCAGTTAAGGGGCTAAAATTAGTGCATTCACCCGGATGTTGTGTTCCCATTAATGCCGATTGGTACTGGGGGTGATAAATACACGAGACTTCTGCAGAGTCATTTGACCCCAGTGTGAATGCTGATTGAAACCTTTCCCACTGCATTAAAAAGCCAAATGTTGGTAGGTGTTAATGTTTTTTTTGTGCAGTGGGAAAGAGGATAAAGTGACTGTATGCAGGGTTTTTAAATGTGGGAACACTGGCTAAAAATAAGTGATAGACTCCTTTCCACTTGCCAGAAGACCAGAGCTGTGTTTTTGTTCTGTTTCTTCCTGGTGTGTCACGTCTGACGTCTTGGAGGGTCCAGAAAAAGGTTAGTCGACAGTAGAAAGCAGCATGGAGGCCAGTGAAAACTTTTATATATCTCTTGCTTATAAATTGGGAGCGCTGTCTGAATGTAGCGTTGGGTTATCCAGAGCAGCGCACTCTCAGAGTGGCAGAGCGCACTCTGGACACTCTGTCTGTGGAGACGGAGCAGCAGAGCGCCGAGCGCAGTGAATGTGTGATTAACTTAACCGTTGGTTCATTCATGTAGAAATATAACGCTGCGTTTCTTCCACCAACAGGGCTCTCATTTTAGTGTAGAGCGTCAGACTGAATTTACCAACGCACCATGTCAGGTCACTCACTCTCCGGGACCGCCAGTGTTACTAGAATAAGTAAACACTGACCAACGGGACCAGACTGGCCGACCCGTATACTCTCACTCAGTGGATGGATGATGTCACAGGAAGCCAATCTTACAAAGGAGGACCACACTTGTTTGTTTTGCTATGGAAGCTAACGTTAGCTAATGTGCTAAAAAGTTAGCGTTGCAGAGAAATCCAATATTCCTCTTAATCCCTCCCCAGTTTCTGATGAGGTGGACATGATAACCCTTAATACACATAACCTTATTCATCCCTACAACAGGAAATACTTTTTCCCTAACCTGATATGAAGTGTGCGCTGCACATGTGAGCATTTTTGATGATGGCCTCCGTCCAGTCCTTTGGTCTTATCACATTTAACCATAGTTGTCTTTGTTTTTGTTGACGGGCAGTGGCGGCTGGTTTTGAGCCATGACTCCTTCTATTCTGGCTCCCAATAACACAACAAGACAAACACATTTTAACACTCCTATGGAGCCTACAGCCCTGTGGGGGAGAGGCAGCTGCACCTCCAGCTGATCACATGATGTCACTGTGATGTCATCGTGACGTCGGGTCTAAAAGGGTCTATTCAGTCTGTTTCAAACCAGGTGTTGTATTTCTATCACTGCTGATCGGAGCCGATGGGAGCTGAAGCCAATAAATACCTGCGACTATTGCAGAGTCATCTGACGTGCGAGTGAAGGCAGATTCTTTCTCATTAAACACAAAAGCAGATGTTAGCTGGTGTTAGTGGGTTTTTTGCGCTGAGACAGGAGCTTCACAGTGACTATATGAGGTGTAGAAGTGAACGCTGGTGAACTCACTGGAGTCGGGCATGATGCGTAGGTCTCCCTCCTTGTAGTCGTCCAGCAGCTGGTACATGTAGAGCACCGGGTCCTTCTCGTAGGTGATGTAGAACCAGGACGTCATGATGGGAGCTCGAGCCAGCACCATCCCCCTCCACTCCTCCTTCGGCCCGTCCTCTGTCTCAAACATGTGCTCCACCGCCTTCCCGATCATCGTCTCCGCCAGCAGCGAGTCGCTCACACGGGCCGGAGCTAGACCAATCACAGAGAAGCAGAGAAGAGAGGGGATTAACACTGACATCACAACGTTACTTTCTTTGGTTCTAGTTCCTCCAGTGTCTCAGATGTTCTTTGTTTGCTGCCTCAGTAAACTGAACATCTGTAGGTTTTGGTTTTTTGGTCGAATTAAAGACATTTGACAACGTTTACACAACTGAAACAACTATTTCCTGACATTTTAGAGTTCATTAAATTATCTTCACTGCACTGTAACGACCACATTAAACTGATATTGCACACTGAAGATGTTAAATTCAGTCGGAGCTGAAGTGTGTTGAGCTGCAGTTCCTCTAACGTCCACCAGATGCTGCTGTGATCAAATCCAGGCTGTGTTGAAGTGAACGAGAAAACCTCAGGGTGAGAACAAGGAAACAAAATGTTCGTCCTCACCCACTCTGTCGGGCAGCACCTCCAGCCCCACCACCCTCTCATCACTGTACAGCTCCAGGCCGTAGATGCAGTCGAAGCCGTCGTACTTGATCAGGTAGAGGGACGGGTTGACGGGGACCTGGTCCAGGACCGTCCCCTTCCACTGGGACGACTTACCTGAGAGGAAACAGACACAAACTCAGATGGTCATGAGCTATGAAAGATTCACAGACACCTCAGAACGGTGCACTTTGGGTTTGTTTATACATCTAATTGACTGATTGTACATGTTTATATGAATTTGGGGAAAGGGAGCTCCTCCTCCATCATGATCACGTTAATCACAGCTGGTGTCAGTTCAATCCAACTCACTGCCTTCCTTCCAGATGTGCTGGATCCTGCAGCCCACGATGTTCCTTCTGGGCTGAGCCAGAGTCTTACTGGGACCAACGCTAGTCCTCTGTTTCCTGCAGAGACGAAAGAAAGACGAGAGAAAGAGAAGTGCGGAGGAGGCAGAAGGAGAGCGATGACGAAAGACGAATGAACACAAAAGAGAAGAAGAAAAAATATAAAGAATTACATGAGAGCAAAAATAAATGAAGAGGTTGAGAAAGGACAAAACGAAGACAAGTTTTAAAGATGGAGTCGAATCTTTAAAGAAAAAACGCACAGAAGAAAATGCGTCAGAACGTCAGACTTACTTGTGTGAGTTCTTCTTCTTCATCATGTTTGCAGACACACCTGAATGTCCTGAAACACAGACACAAACATTCAGCAACCATGTAATGATGGGTGGTGCATTCAAGAACGCTCAGACATCTGATGTCAGTCAGTCAGTCAGGAGCAAAACAGGAAATGTTTTAACACGGAAAACTAGAATTAGCGCTTGATGGAACCGATCAAACTGCAGTTACAGTTTACGTCCATGTCTGTGCAGAACCGAGACATGAGGTTGAATACTGGACAGAAAAGTGTTTTACAGAACATTATTACGTCACAGCAAAGCTGACCTTTGACCTTTTGGATTATTTTATCCTCTCAGACGTGTGTGTGTGTGAAACTTTGTTATGTTTAGGGTTGTTCTGAGGTGAACCGTGATATGAGAATTGACGATTATCAAACCGAGTACATTTCCTTATCTACGATATTAAAAACAAATGAATGAAAAATTATGAAAAAATGTTTTGTGAGGTCTGTGCCAAATTTGAATTAATTGCCTCTGGGTGTTCTTGAGATATCTCGTTCACAAGAATGAGACGGACACAAGGTGACAGTGACCTTTGACCACTAAATTCTAATAAGTATATTGTTGAGTCCAAGTGAAGGTTTGTGCCAAATTTGAAGGATTGAGATGTCACATTCATGGGAATAAGACGGATTTGAGGTGATAGAAACCTTGACCTTTGACCAACAAATTCTAATAATTTCATCATTGAGTCCAAAGTGAAGGTTTGTGCCAAATTTGAAGGATTGAGTTTTTGCATTCATGGTAATGAGACTAATTAAAGCTCATAGTGCCCTTGGCCTTTGACCATGGAATTCTAATCAGTTCATTGTAAACAGTCCAAGTGAATGTTTGTGCCAAATTTAAGGGGATTCCCTAAAGGTGTTCTTGACACATCATGTTCACAACAATGAGACGGATGCGAGGTCACAGTAACCTAAAAAAAGTAAAAATTGAATCTGTTCATTGTTGAGTCCAAATGGACGTTAATTAAAATTAGTTAAACTGATTAATAATTAGTTAAAATCTGAAAGACTGAGATATCACACTCATGGGAATGAGACAGTGACCTTTGTCTCAAAGCATTATTGAGATTTGCGTTAGTCAACATTTACAACATTTTTGCCACGAGGCATGACGATGTGAAAAAATATTTGACATCCGATCTCATCCACACAGAGTCCGTCTTTGACCCTCAGACCGACACGTCAGTATTTTAACGTGTTTGGCGTGTTTTGTGACTCACCCCCGTCCGCGCGGGGGGGCCGCGGGGCCGCTGGGCTCTTGAATGGGGTCTTCATTCATCCACCTGTGGAGGGGCAGCCAGCAGGGCCGCCGGTCGGGGCTAAACGCTGGGACACCAGGCCGGGGTGAGGACGGAGGGAGGGGGCGAAGGGGGGGGGAGGGTAGGGAAAGGAGGGAGGAGGTGGAGGGAAAAGAAGGAGCACCAGGAATTAGGCCGGGCCCTGGACAGGCTGCATACAGGCCGGGGACAGACTAACACCTGGAGACTGAGGTGACGTCACAGCTGCTGGACGCGATGAGGAGACAGAGTGTTCAGCCTGAGGAGGAAGAATACAGAACATTAACACACTGAGTCGTTATTTTTATCAAAGATTGAATGTTTATTTTCTGTTTTTATTTTTCCCACTGTTTACTTTGAGTTAAATCACTGAGCAGAGGTCATGAGGTCACGTGGTGGCCTGTTAGATACACTGAGAAGCTGTTATTGTTTCACTGAAGGTCTCAGAGTTCTGACTGATAAGACGTCTGTCAGAGAGGCTCTGCTCCACATTACAAACTTTACTGAGTTTTCTAAAGATTCACTCCTCTTCCTCCTCCTCCTCCTCCTCTTTTAGCCGAGTATGAAAGAATTGTTAACAAAGATTTGACGTCCTTATCAAAGAAACTGTCCAAAATATGATGCAAGAAGCAGAACGAAGGAGTCAGAGAGAAATGTTTGCCTTCTGAATTACAGAAATATCTGGATCCACTGACGCGACCACATCGCATGAAGAAATGTACCTTTGTGTGTTTTACATTTAAAACAAATGTTTTTTTCTGGAGCTGGACGGGTGTATAATAAATCCTGTGAAAACATTTGAATTTTTTTTCATGTATCAAAATAGAAGTGCATTTCGGAGACGTCCCCCTGCAGATTTTGGTCCAATGGGCCGAGCTAAACGCTCCCCTCAGGTCACGCTCCCACAACAGCTTCAGGGAATCGACCCCAGACGACAAGCTAGAGACTAAAGACCACGCCATGAAGCTTCTTGCCTGATTCTGTTTTAGTTTGAATTAATCTCCACAGTGTGGTTTTATTTGCCTCTTCAAACGGTTTTATACTGAAAGTTCTGTATTAATAAAGTTTAATAATATAAAATGTCAAAGAATTGTTGAAAACACAGCGTCTGCCACAAGATCTCACGTTAACGTATTCAAATGTCTCATTCATCATCACAACAGACGAATGGAACAGTTTGAGCTGAAGCCAGAGAGCTGCTGGGATTTTTTGCAAAATAATAAATAATTTAAATGATGAAAGATTTTCTGACCGATTGATTTATCAGTTCTGTGACTGATCATTACAGATGTGTATAGTGTAGTGAAACCATGAGAAGCAGCTGGTCTGAAACATCCCAGCAGGACGTTAGTCATCATTAAACTTTATGTAAATGATCTCACAAACACGACTAATGACGTCTCAGTGAATTCTGTAACAGCTGATGTTCAGTGTTATCAAAGGTCACAGTGAGAAACAGCCTGTTCTCAGGATCATAACAGACACTGACACGTCCGTAAGACTCAGGATCAACCTGAACACAACACGCAGCAGAGAGACAAACCTCCTGATAGGCAGAGATACATTCTGTGTTACAAGGTCAAAGGCAGACAGACAGGCAGACAGACAGACACATGACACTAACACACAGAAACTCTCCTCACCGTCTTCATGGTGTAAAAGAAGCTGAGAAAAGGTGCAAGCTGCACGACGACGACCACAACTGGAACACAGTCAAACCACAGACCTGCTGCTACATGATGATCACACACACGTGCAGCGCTGCACAACAACACACACACTCAGTCTGTTTCCATGACATCAGAGAAAATGGATTTATATAAAACCCCTGTAAACATGTCAGTGTGAGTGAAATGGTCCTGCAGTGAAAATGTCACAGTGGGACTAACACACCCAGATCATGTGACTCCTGCATGTATACAGTCAATCAGACCCAAACTGGCCGAGGCGCTCTGAGCATGCTCCACAGTTTCCGCCCCGGGCTTTGACCCGGAAGTCCAGTAGCATTAAATGTGTAAGAGAAGAAGAAGCCGGTAACAACATGGAGAAATCTACATCCAGAGCCGTGACTTTTTGGACGGACCAAATGTACAGAGCTGTAAAGTTGTCCACCATGGTAGCAGTTAGCTGCTAGCTAACCGTAGCTAACTTGTTTGTCCATTGTTTGGTCTGTGACGTAATAGGTCAACAGGAAAAAGGTCCAATACTAACAAGCTGAAAGGGGGCATATCTCCACCTATCGTAGAGGAGTCGCACATACTTGGCTCAATAAATGGATTCCCCTCCCGTGCTTGTATACTGGGACAAGGACAGTAGGCCAGTTAGATGTCCTCGTCCAGCTGGGACTGGAGCTCCACTTTACTGGGACTGGAGACAGACTGACAACAGACCAGGACCAATCGGACTAGACCGGAATCAACTGACTTGACCAGCAGACTTCACTACAAGCTGATTGGCTGTTGAAACAGGTGATGTACTTTAAAACTAGCCGCCGGCCATTTGACCAGCTGAGTGTCAGGTGACATCATCAGTCAGCTTGAGTGGAGCTCAGACCGCTGACACTTTTTTCTGTGACGTTCTAAAACGGTTTCATCTTGTCACCAGTCAGTGGACTGACCTGTGCTGATGATCCCGTGTTGCCGACGGTCCCTTCATACAGACATTGTTACGGTGCTGTTACTACCTCCAATAATGGCGCACACACCGTGTTGTAACTGGAAGTGACGCGAGCGAGCATCATCGACCATCCGTTTGATTGCTCTGTGTTAGCTGCTGCTAAAGACAGTCAACAGACTCTTTTCTCATGACAGCAGAGCAGAGCTGTGCACACAGCGCTGCAGCAGACGAGAACACTTCTCTGTATGGATTTTGTTTTTTTTGGTGTTTCACATTCGATGTCACAGAGGAGCTAGAAAACAAGTTAGTAACCAGCAGAAGGCAGCATGGAGGCCAGTGACATGTTGCCGTAGTTACTTCTTTTTACAAACCTGTTACTTATTCAGTCGCTCTTTAAAACTCGGTTGATGTTCGAGCACTAACTGGGTGGAGATGGACGTATCATATGATGGCATGTCACTGCATCTCACCAGTTAAGGAGCTAAAATTAGCGCGTTCACCCCAGTGTTGAGTTTCCATCAATGCCGATCGAAACCAGAGTCGATAAATACCTGTAAAACTGCAGAGTCATTTGACCTGGTTGTGAATGCAGATTAAAAAGCCAGATGTTAGTGGGTGTTAGTGAGACACTAAAAAATTCCAAGTAAAACACTCAGCATCAGTTCCAGTGAACGCTACACTGAGAGTATTGTCACTGCTTTACCTTGATGTCAGACAGTGATTTTCATTGGACAAACGAACCTGTGATATCGACTGATCCTAAACCAGACTCCATTGAGAAACACTGTGATTTAACATCAGTGAACACTGGAGCTGCTGGTCGACTGCTGCCTCCATCACTTATTTTATTTGCCTTATTTGTGGGATTTTGGCTTTTAATCTGGTCGGTTCAGATTCAGCAGAGTCACACAATCACACAGACTAACTGAGCCAAGCAGCCGTGGACCAGCAGCTCCTGTGTTCACTGAGCTAAAACTACTGGTTTTCTCAATGGAGTCTGGTGGCTGTGACAAGAGCGCAGACACGGAAGTAGACCGTCTGACGGAAACACAAAGCAGTGAAGTTACTCTAAATTTAACGAACATTTACACAGATGTCGATTTTTTTCAGGTGTCTACAACATGTTCAGCTGCTGCTGCTTCGCTCAGCTCAGACTGCAGTCTGCTTCTCCAAACTGACATCTACTGCTGAACATTTCAGGTCTGAACTGAAGCATCTGATGTGTTTTGGTGGTAAACAGACTCATACTGCTACTCCACTACATCTCAGAGTAATCTATTACTCCACTACATTTATTTTACAGCTTTAATACAAACTGTATATCAATAATAAAAGTTGATTAAAGTACATATCAGTTTATAAAGTCATTAACATGAGCTCCATGTTCACCAGCTGCAGCGTTGAAGTGATGAACACATGAATACATCATTAATTATAATCCAATAATATCACATATGTTACTCTGCATCATCACTACTTTTATTTTTGGTGCATTTATATTTGATGCTGTCACTGAGGGAAGACTCTGAATACATGAGTTTTACTTGTAATAGAGTATTTTTACACTGCAGTGCTTTTACTCTAAGATGTGAGTACTTCTTACAGCTCTGCCTGACAGTGTCCTGCACTGTGGACACAAACATCTGTCCCTGTGTCCTCCTGTCCCTCTGTCCTCCTGTCCCTGTGTCCACCTGTCCCTGTGTCCCCCTGTCCTCTGTCCTCCTGTCCCTGTGTCCACCTGTCCTCTGTCCTCCTGTCCCTGTGTCCTCCTGTCCCTGTGTCCACCTGTCCTCTGTCCTCCTGTCCCTGTGTCCACCTGTCCCTGTGTCCTCCTGTCCCTCTGTCCACCTGTCCCTCTGTCCTCCTGTCCTTCTGTCCACACTGATGCATTAACCTGTGCAGGTCTCGTGACAGCAGCAGGGACTCATCACTGTGTCTCTGTAAATATAAACTGTTGTTTAGTCTGATGATGAAGATGAAGATGACCATCCAGAGGTCACAGTTCCTCCTCCTCCTCCTCACTGACCACCACATTAACCTCCCTGCTGCTGCTCTCACTCCAACCTTTCCAAAGATGTGCAGAGCCCTCCAGACGGCGGCCATGTTGCGCCAGTATTTACAAAACCCGCATCAGTGCAAAAGGGAAAAAAAGGCGCAAACGAACAAAGGGAGAGGGGAGGTCTGAGGCTCGAGCGCTAAGCTAGCTGCTCTGCGCTAAAGCGACACACCGGATAACCGGCCCCGTTAACCGGCTCGTTCGGCGGTGCCGGAGGCCGCAGTTTCTTACCGATACAGCAATCAGTGTCGCCGCATAATCCCGATCAACCGCCGTGGCTCCAAATTGATCCGCTCTGCCTCCGTTTGGTTCTCCGCTGCTGCGTCAAGCTAGCTGCGCTAAAGACGGAGGGGCGGCGGAAGTCAGGCGGCGAGGCCTCCAAAATAAAACCGCTCATTTTGCTGCAATGTGTTTTTTCCCCTCTCTTCTTTTAAGAAATAAAGGTCCATTAAGGGACTGTTCTTTATTATTTATCAGTGACTGTAATTCAACAGTTTGTCACCGTCTTTCCCAAGTGTGCGGCGCTGTCGCTTTTTTTAACATATAAAACTTTATTTAAACGAATTATACAAGACAAGCTCTCATAGGAATATTGAATTTTGCTTTCTTCCAGAAATAAGAATAAAAAATGACAAATAAGGTTAAAACAAAATAAAAAAACGTCAGGTTTATATTTATAATACATAAAAATATAAATAAACCAATAATACATGGACATGGTGAAATTTGTAATTTAACAGTTTGTAATTTCATCCCCTGGAGGTCCCCAGGTGGGCCATGCTGATGCCTTAATTCTTTTTAATCAATTAAATTATTTTTAAAAAGTATTTCCAGCGGCACAGGCAGTGACATGATGTAGTTACGATGGGCCCCAGTGTACGCTACTCTGCACATATCATCATGTCTCATGATGAAACAGTGACATGACACTGGGCAACATCAACATACATTTTAGAGCAATCACCATTTCATATCTGTAGATGACAAAAAATACCAAAGGAAATTTCATAGATTATTTGATTTTTACCACAAAAAAAACCAAACAAAATAAGACAGACGATGGCTTTGCCTTACGAGGGCATATATAGCAAATGGCACCATATTTAATGTAATGAGAATTCATCTTTCAACACAGGCATGTTTCAAAGGGGACAGTGTTTGCCATCATGTTGCTGAAGGACCTGCTCTCTCTATGGGCCCCCGCACCTCACGGGCCCCAGTTTTTCCACACTGCCTGCACTGTCTGTGTTTGCACCCCTGCGGCAAGGCTATATTTATTACACATACAAATAGATTAATATCTAAATAAAAGTATAAATAGAACAATAATATGCCTACATGTATGTGGTGGAAATAAACGTGTTCATGGCAACACATTTTGAGACTTCTACAATTCACACAGGAAGGGACTGTTGTTTACGTATCAGAGGAGGGAGGTGGCTGCAGTGTGACTTAGTTTAGCTTTAGTTTTATATCCTTCCCACAAATATTTCCCCTTGATTCTTCCTCCCTCCACCATAAATGAGCTATTAGATTTTTAAAACTGTGATGTTCAAAAGTTCTAAAGTTAAAGATGAAACCCTGGAGCTGAAAAAAGCTTTGTTTTTTCACTATTTTCATGCAAACATTTTGTTCCGGGTTGTTTTTTTTTTTTGGCTAAATTTTAAATGAGACGCAGATTATTGTGATAAACATCACGATTTTAAGATCAGATGATTTTTGTTGTTGTTGTTTTCTTTTTTGATGAAAGCCTATGTTGCACCTGATGTGTCCAAGAACTATCGAAAATGTGAAAATCCAAAGACAGTTTCTGTTCTTACAGTTTCTGGCTCTGATAAATGGTGTCATTTTGACAACAAAAAATTAAAAAGAAAAAAAAATCACAACATTTAAAAAAAAAAAAAAAAAAAGAAAACGTGCCAAAATTGGCAAACAATTTTAAGGATTCTTTTTAAACAGCCACAAAATGTAGAAAACAAACAAATAAATATATTTTTGTAAAGAACAATAATAATAATAATAATAATAATAATAATAATAATAATGAACTTTTTTTTTAAGAAGCACGCAGTATCTTTTCTTGAAAAATGTCAACAAACCTTCCATCTTGGTAAAAATACCAGAAATTGTGACATAGTTTGTGGTCGCTTATCTTTGATATTTGATTAAATCTCTGTTTTCACAGTTTCTTGCTAAACAGTGTAATTTTGGTGATTTAAAAAAGAAACCTGCCTCCCTAACTCGCTCTCTCTTCAGCGCTTGTACTTAGGCTTTTATTTTTAAAATCTCGTACCGGAAGTGTCATTTATTATGCTGGTTGCCTTGACACTGGTTGTTGTGCAGGTTTGCGTTGAAGCCAAAAATTCTTCCACCGCCGAGTCCCGCCTTTCTCCCGCTTGCTAAATAGTGATCCAGCGGTATGTTAGCGGTTCAGTTTGCTGCTGGGTCTTCCTGCCAAATACTGCGCCTCTCCGCTGACCTGTTTTTCTCACACACGGAGCCGTTACAGCGGAAACATTTCACCACGGACGGTGTTTGGTTTTTGGTATGATGATAAATGTGGCGACACCGCCCACCTCATCCGTCCCTAACTTCATTAAACACCATCTGCATTGTAGTGAGGACGGCGGCCCGGCAGGGGGCGCTCTTCACTGACTGTACACAGGGGGCGGACACGTGTAAACTGACCCAGGGTCAGATCTATCAGCTGATCAGCTGTGTGATGGAGGATGGAGTCTGAACAAGAGCTGATCTGGGAACAGCTGCAGGTTCATCACATGTGTTGGAGCCAAAGGAAAGGGCGTTTGTTTTCGTCACAGGGGCGGCTCCGCAGGGCGGTGATTAAAAACAAATAACACACAAGGTAACTGACCAGAAACATTTTTTATTCAGGTCAAGACACAATAGAATTTTGGCAAAATATGAGTGATTGGCTGAATATAAAAATATAAATATAAATATCATCATTTGATGCATTAAACTCTACTTCACAGAGAAATATCTGAGATGGTTGAAATGATCTTATTATTGGTAAATATTAAATTCACTCGTGTAAATGTAAAAATCAGAAACTCTTATTCACGTGAAATTAATTCAAGAAGTATTTTAATTCTTTACAAACAGATACACGAATAATCAGTCAGACTGTGTCACAATCTCTGGTGTTTTCATCAAGACAGAAGGTTTGTTTTTATTTATTTATTGGGTTTGCTCTGCTAATGTGTGTGTGTGTGTGTGTGTGTGTGTGTGTGTGTCTGCGGGGGTGGTGGGAGTAGGGACTGTTCGTTACTTATGAGGGGTAGTGCCATTTTTAAAGTGCATCTTTTTTTTCTTAATATTTTTTTGGTGGTTTTAAAATTTGGGGGATTTGTTTTTTTCTTTAAAAATGTTTGCAAATTTTGGCACATTTTCTTAAAAAAAATTAATTGTTGCCAAAATTGCACCATTTATCAGAGTCAGAAAGGGAATCAACAATATAACAGAACTTTTGTAATTATGTAAAGATCTATGCAACATTTCACACGTATGTAACTTAAAGTCATGTCTCGTCTGGACGTCAGAGCACAAGAGCCTCACATGACGTTTACTCTGAGTCAGTGTGAAACAAGCTGTGAGTGTTTTACTTGATGTTTGAGAACATGACGAGGTCAGACGTCACAAACCGTTCCGTCACACCTCTGATGATGCTAACATCAAGACGTCATCTGTTAAAAGCCTCACGTTGTCGGATACGACATGAAACTACTCCAGTTAGCTCAATCATGTTGTAACTAAGACATCCGCTGGAAAAAAAATTTTTTTCACGTTGACGAGACGGCGTTTTGGGTGGAGCGGTCGCCATGGACGCAGAGCTTGCTGTTTCTGTAGGTACACATTTCCTGAGGACACCTGCACGTCTCGGCCCCGCCCCCTCCATTGTGATTGGCTAAAAAAATTATTAAAAAAAAAAGCAGCATCTTTTCATTAAAACTACCCCCCCCCAATAGATAACGAACAGTCCCTAAACCCATGTGATATCAGAGCAAACCTCATAAAGAAATACTGAAAAATCAAAACCCTCCGTCTTAAAACACCAGAAACTGTGACGTAGTTTGACATTATTATTATTATTATCATTATTATTATTATTATTATTATTATTGATGTATCTGTTGATATTTACTGTTTTTACAGTTTCTGGCTGTGATAAATGCAACAAAACAATTAAAGAAAAACATCTGAATCTGTTGATGTTGATTAAAGGATGAAAAATATAATATTTCTGTGAGAGTTTGTCATGTTGAATTGTTGTTAATAAAGTTTGAAACAAAAGGCACCGCCCACCCGGGGAGCTCCGGTGGATACACCGCGGTGACAGACAGTTAAATTACAATCAGGGCAGGCAGAGGAATTTGGGAGGAAAACGAAAGCCGCCCCCTTTTTCCTTCACAGTTTACCGCTCCGTTAACACCGTCGAGTCTCCGGTTGAGGTCCATGTTAGCACAGACACATAGTTACAGCTGACACCGCGGGACACGCTGGAAGAGACGGGGACACCTCCGCAGGATGCCGAGCACCGTGCACGTGAAGTGAAAATCGTTTCGGCAAGATGTGAGATGAACCGGGAGAAGACAGCGACCGAGGCCAACGACATCATGTTGGTCCGGAGCTCGGTAAGAACAAGTGCGCTAGCTCGGTGTGTTAGCATCACTGTGGCTAATGTTAGCCGCTCCGTACGGTAACGTTACATTGAAATAAAGCTAACGAGCTGGCAGCAGCCGGACTGTGATGTCATGGCCGCTTGTTAGCGGATGCTAACTGTTAGGTTACATCAACACAGGAAGCTAATCAGAGGGTTAGCTAGCTGCAATCAGAGCTAACGATAATTCAGATCAGTTAACTTAAGCTAGCTAACTAGTTCTGTCAGTTAGCTAGTTCCTGTTTACTTCAGGTGAACCTCAGGAAGATGTAGGACTGTTTCACGGGTCCAAACATGAACTGTCCTCACTTCCTGTCCGGAAACATGAAGCTCAGGTGGTACCTGAAGACAGTTTGTTCACACCTGGAGACATGTAGCTTAACAATTAGCTTTTAATGCTGCTCTGTGTGTGTTGACAAATGTAAACACACAAGCCCAAACTGCTTTGAATGAGTTAAAGCAGCGGTGTCAAACATACGGCCCGTGGGCCAGAAGCGGCCGCCACCGGGTCCAGTCCGGCCCATAGAGGACCAGACTCAGAGGGGACAGGTGTCAGGAGCAAGTTAAACAGTGTGTTACCTGCTTCATGTAAAAATCTCTTCAGAGGCGTTTCCAGCCTGACCATAATAAGCCCTCTGATACAACCATGAATACTGACTGTGACCATGTTTAAAGTTACTCAATATTGTGTTAAATAATTATCAATCAGCTGCTTCAGTTCAAAAGAGTCTGTATCAGGAAGTGTGTGAATAAATACACATGTAATAACAGTGAGAAGCAGACTGACTGAATGAGGAGACATACTGTGGAAATTGCACTTATTTTTCTTGAGACATCTCAGGCTGTTCATCTGTTTTATTCAAGGATGAACGTCTACAGAACATTCTTGTAATTCTTTACACACTAAAAAGGGAAATATTGGAGCTGATGGTTCTTATTTATTAGTTATTGTGCGATGGTTTTATTGGTCCAGTCCGTCTGAGGTTAAATTGAGCTGTATGTGGCCTGTGAACTAAAATGAGTTTGACACCCTGAGTTAAAGGGATAGTTTGGAGCATTTGCAGTGGGGTTGTGTGAGGCACTTACCCATAGTCAGTGTACAACACACAGTCGACACACCTCCAGTTTGGAGAAGCAGGAACCTAAAAAACCAGTATCAGTCTAAGTGCACACTATAATGAGAGTATTTTACTGCTTCACCTTAATGTGAGACACTGTCTGTCTTTCTTTATTTTATTTGATAGGGACAATGCAATTTAACATAATCTTGTTCTGTTTCTGTAACTTTCCTTCTTGTAAATAGGGTAGGCAATAATAAGCTGTTGTTTCAGCCTACACCTTTTCGCCCATACTTAATATAGAAATCCTAATTGTATGCATGTAAATATCATGTTCTGTTGAATGGACGAATAAATTACTACTACTACTACATAGCTTTAATACAGAGTATGAGACTGATGTGTTGCACACAGAGTTTATAGTTATTGCATATTTCCAACTCTTGTCCCTAGTTGGGTTTTTACATGTAGGCCTGAAATGTTATTAAAATGCACAGTTGTAAACATCATAAAACCACAATACACTATAAAAATACATTAACCACAATACACCACTACACTTACACTAACACCCCTTAAAAAGTTTGACTGTGATCAGCTGTTCTATCTCTGGAGATCGACTGTTGGTACATTTGAAAACTAATCTCAGGAAACAAAAGTTAATGAAGCTGTCAGAGCTGAGAAGAGTGTATCGCCACCAGACGGGCTTTTTGTCCCTTATTTTCAGTGCCTGATTGTATGAAGATGTGAGGTGTGTGATTGTAGATGGTGAGCCCATACTGTCATGCAGTTTGAATACTGAGAGAAAATCACAGAGTGCATGAATAACTGGGCTTCCTGTGTGGGCATATAGTGCCTTATTAATTTAGAACAATTAAGGTTAAGTGATTTCCAGCTGGAAAATAAAGCCATCATATCTCTCTCTTCAAAGCCAGACTCCATAGATAAAACCAGTGATGTAACATCAGTGAACACTGGAGCTGCTGGTCGACTGCTGCCTCCATCAGTTAGTGTTTGTGTTATTGTGTGACTTTGGTGTTTAAAAGCGTCAGTTCAGATTCACCAAAGTCACGCAATAACTCAAACTAACTAACTGACTGAAGCAGCAGTCGACCAGCAGCTCCTGAGTTCAGTCAGCTAAAGTTACTGTTTTTCTCAGTGGAGTGTGGTGGGTTTAACAAGAGCAGAGGTGGGGAACTGAAACAGCTTCCCTGCTGGAATAGGCTGTCATATTGGAAGATGAGACACTGAAAATACTCTGAATATAGAATACACTTTAACTGATATTTATTTTTTTAAGGTGGCTAAAACACATTTTGTTGCTGACCCGTCCACAGTAGTACATTCATTAGCTTCTGTGTCGTCTCCAGCCTGCTTCTATAAACTGGGGGGGGGGGGGGGTCAACTAACATCTACTATACATAACACACTGACTGTGGATAAACACCTCATCCAACACACTTTAAAAGATCCAAACTGTCCCTTTAATGCTGATTTTCTCCAGATAAATTCACATGTAATCAATTCATCTGCAGCTCCTTTATGTCAGCATCCTCCAGCTGAAAAACAGAGCAGTCTTTGTGCACTGAAGTTGCCTCCTGCTGTAACATATAAGCTCATTAAGTAATGAATGCGGGTGTTGACCTGTCAGTGGAAATGACAGTAACCATGGCTGCACAGAATCATCTCATCCATCCAGCTAATGAAGAACAAAGTCCAGCGGAAAACTGGACTGTTTGTTCTGAGGTGCAAACACACAATCTCATCCACAGAGTCCAGGTGCTGTGACTGATTATTAGATTAAACATCAGTTATCTGTGATCAAGTCCAAGTCTTTGTATATTCTGATTGCTTTCTTACAGTGAAATAAAGACAAGAAAAGCAACAGAGCATCACATTAGAGACGCTGATGCAACACAAAGTCATTGTGTTTGTATGATGCGTGACTGTAGAGACTAGGGAAGTTGCTTCAGATTAATTTTCAGTGGTTGCAAGTCTCAGGTAGACCTGAATATGTTCAGTGCTTTTCTAAATCTCTGATCCAATGCGTCTTAAATTGAGAAAAGCAATCTAAACTTTCTGGATCACCAATATGAGAAGAAACCATAGAGAGGTCATGGTTCCTGTGATGTGACCATGCAGTCATCACACTGGGGGTAAACTGCTGGTAGAAGACATGTGTTTTGATCAGATAATACAGGAAGTGAGGTTAATTCCCACAGATGAATTGTTAATGTTTCCGCCTCTCCTCTCGCCGCAGCACGGCCGAGGCCGAGCCAGAGTGACTCATGCGGTGGTGGTGATCTTCCTGGAGTTCTTCGCCTGGGGGCTCCTGACAACGCCCATGCTAACCGTGAGTACAGTGGCTCCTGCTCCTCAGTTAACGCTTCACAGTTCGGGTTTGGACATGCAGACCGGAGGAGCCGGGGATCGAACAGCCAATCTCCTGATTAGTGGACGACCTGTTCTACTTCCTGTTCTACTTCCTGTTCTACTTCCTGAGCCACAGCTGCTCCCCAGTATCATTAAAGATTGACAGTTAACAGCTCCACAGCAACATGATGATATGATATATGCTCAATATTATAATAGTCTGAGACAGGATGGTACAACTCAGTTATTGTGTCCTCAGATAAGGAGTGTGGACTTGCACATATGTGATTGGATGATGTCACATTTCACTGCAGCTAAAGTCGAGCCATATGAATTTTTTTTTGTCTGTACTGCGTTAGCGTTGCGTCATACACTGTGATATGCAGATTGACGGTTGTAATACTGTTTCCATTGTTTATTTATCGTCTGTGAACGCAGGCAGAACTCTTCATGAGCTCTTTATGTGCCTCCACGCTGACGTTAACCGTGGCAGGAGACAACATGTTGTCAGGTTGTTCGTCACGTTATTGTGAACACGATATCTCAAGAGCACCTCGTGGGAATGTCTTCAAATTTGGCACAAGCGTCCACTTAGACTGAAGAATAAACTCAGTAAAATTTGGTAGTCAAAGGTCACTCTGATCTGTTTTTGGCCTAAGCTCAAGAATTTATACACTTTTTATGGCAACATTTCAAACAAATGTCTGACAGGATAAAATATGATATGATGACATTTTATATCCAAAAGGTCAAAGGTCAACTTCACTGTGACATCATAATACTCTGCATAAAACACTTTCCTGTCCATTACTCAGCATTATATCTCAGGAACAGAAGGGGAGACATTTGGTCAGATCAGGGCTGGGTTAAAATAATCGATTTATCGGATTCAAATTGATCTTCATCTGAATGACCTGATATCTGTCCATAAAACCTGAAATTGATCTTTTTAATTTATACTTTTTTCCCCACCAGTATTAAACAAGCGCCGGCTCGACCGTAGTATTGAGAAGCTCAGACATTAACAGTTCTTTTATCTGTAACTGTTGGCTCATTGTTTTTATAATTTGGTGTAATTTAGACGTTGTGTATGGTTATCGGACTATGTGACCCTGAACTGGACGCTGAGATTGAGAGACGTCTGACTTTAGGAAACAAAGCAAACGAGTACATTCTCCAAAATGTCTGTGTGTCCCTGCAGTTTGTCTCCAGGGTGAAATGAGTTTGATGAAACTTTCCTGATCTTCAGTCCTGTTTTATCTCCATGTGTTTGTCTTTCAGCAAAAAAAAACACATTCAGTGTGTGTTACAGTGTGTGTTTCTGTGTTCGTGTGTTCGTGTGTGTGTGTGTGTGTGTGTGTGTGTGTGTGGAGAGAGTATCAGAGGTTACAGATGATGTTTAGATATATACAGTCTGTTCTTCAGAGAGATCAGACGTGACCTTTTTGTTTTGTTGTTTCAGGTCCTCCATGAGACGTTTCCTCAGCACACCTTCCTGATGAACGGCCTGGTTCACGGGGTGAAGGTAAGACTCCTCTCACACACCACACATCACATTCAGATAAAACTCTGACAGATCCCTGTTCCAGCAGAATGTACATCACATAAACAGAACAGAATACAACATGAAGGTAAATATTTCACAGATAATAAAAGACAAAGTGGTGATGAGAAGACGTCACCTCATGTGTTTATTATGCAAGTGTCTGCAGTGTAAAGAAATGAATGTGCACTTCAGCAGCATGAACGCAGTGTTTCTCCTACACACACGTTCACCACAGAATCACACATTTAAAAGCGTTAACATGAAATATTACGTTGACTCATACAGTTGAGAAACAGAGCTGCTGTCACAGATTGGCAGGGATACACGTTTGGGCCTCGTGTCCACCAGAGCTTTTCTTCAAAGCTGAAAACTCCAGGTGCTCCTCAGGAAACGACACCTGGGAGTGTTTGAGAGCGCTGTGGAGGTGCTGCGTTTTTTTTTTCAGCTGTGTCTCGTTGCTATGATACGGAATATCTACAGAAGTGAACATGTCAGGGCGAGGAAGAGTACCTGCTGTGGGTGAGGGGAGGGCTGAAGCATGTTGGGAGAGTGGACGGACCTGGTCTGTGTGGGTTCATGAGAGGAAACATACAGTACAGGCCAAAAGTTTGGACACACCTTCTCATTCAATGCGTTTTCTTTATTTTCATGACTATTTACATTGTAGATTCTCACTGAAGGCATCAAAACTATGAATGAACACATGTGGAGTTATGTACTTAACAAAAAAAGGTGAAATAACTGAAAACATGTTTTATATTCTAGTTTCTTCAAAATAGCCACCCTTTGCTCTGATTACTGCTTTGCACACTCTTGGCATTCTCTCCATGAGCTTCAAGAGGTAGTCACCTGAAATGGTTTTCCAACAGTCTTGAAGGAGTTCCCAGAGGTGTTTAGCACTTGTTGGCCCCTTTGCCTTCACTCTGCGGTCCAGCTCACCCCAAACCATCTGGATTGGGTTCAGGTCAGGTGACTGTGGAGGCCAGGTCATCTGCCGCAGCACTCCATCACTCTCCTTCTTGGTCAAATAGCCCTTACACAGCCTGGAGGTGAGTTTGGGGTCATTGTCCTGTTGAAAAATAAATGATCGTCCAACTAAACGCAAACCGGATGGGATGGCATGTCGCTGCAGGATGCTGTGGTAGCCATGCTGGTTCAGTGTGCCTTCAATTCTGAATAAATCCCCAACAGTGTCACCAGCAAAACACCCCCACACCATCACACCTCCTCCTCCATGCTTCACAGTGGGAACCAGGCATGTGGAATCCATCCGTTCACCTTTTCTGCGTCTCACAAAGACACGGCGGTTGGAACCAAAGATCTCAAATTTGGACTCATCAGACCAAAGCACAGATTTCCACTGGTCTAATGTCCATTCCTTGTGTTTCTTGGCCCAAACAAATCTCTTCTGCTTGTTGCCTCTCCTTAGCAGTGGTTTCCTAGCAGCTATTTGACCATGAAGGCCTGATTGGCGCAGTCTCCTCTTAACAGTTGTTCTAGAGATGGGTCTGCTGCTAGAACTCTGTGTGGCATTCATCTGGTCTCTGATCTGAGCTGCTGTTAACTTGCCATTTCTGAGGCTGGTGACTCGGATGAACTTATCCTCAGAAGCAGAGGTGACTCTTGGTCTTCCTTTCCTGGGTCGGTCCTCATGTGTGCCAGTTTCGTTGTAGCGCTTGATGGTTTTTGCGACTCCACTTGGGGACACATTTAAAGTTTTTGCAATTTTCCGGACTGACTGACCTTCATTTCTTAAAGTAATGATGGCCACTCGTTTTTCTTTAGTTAGCTGATTGGTTCTTGCCATAATATGAATTTTAACAGTTGTCCAATAGGGCTGTCGGCTGTGTATTAACCTGACTTCTGCACAACACAACTGATGGTCCCAACCCCATTGATAAAGCAAGAAATTCCACTAATTAACCCTGATAAGGCACACCTGTGAAGTGGAAACCATTTCAGGTGACTACCTCTTGAAGCTCATGGAGAGAATGCCAAGAGTGTGCAAAGCAGTAATCAGAGCAAAGGGTGGCTATTTTGAAGAAACTAGAATATAAAACATGTTTTCAGTTATTTCACCTTTTTTTGTTAAGTACATAACTCCACGTGTTCATTCATAGTTTTGATGCCTTCAGTGAGAATCTACAATGTAAATAGTCATGAAAATAAAGAAAACGCATTGAATGAGAAGGTGTGTCCAAACTTTTGGCCTGTACTGTATATTTATATAAACTCACAGTATGTTGACATATTTTGTTGTTCCTGTAAGATGTGACGGTTTGTCTTTGTGGTATTTGTCCCTCCTCAACTGTGATGGAACGACTGTGACAGAAGTTGAACAGTTTAAAATTCTAGATGATCAGAAAATAACTGTCCAACAGGCAGTGCCGCTCATCACAGACTTCCTGCTCAGCACCTCGTCACAGCTCTGGTGTTTGTAAGGTAGCGTCCATACACAGCGCTCCCATTACAAAGAATTTTAAAAATACACTGGCCCTGAAAAAGACGCTTTGGTGGGCGACGGGCCTTAAAGGGGAGTTATACTTGTGCAACAGACCCTACGCCATAGCCTGTAGCCATTGTAAGCATTTACAACTGTGCGGTGGTGTGTCTGTGTCACTCTGCGGTTACACCTCCAAAACACTAGTCGGTGCTGAAGTTCCTGTGAAGTGCTGTAAAGTTTATTGATTCAACACACACGTTAAACACACGTTAAACACACATTGAACACATTAAACACACGTTAAACACACATTGAACACATTAAACACACGTTAAACACATGTTAAACACATTAAACACACGTTAAACACATGTTAAACACATCAGACACACGTTAAACACATTAAACACATGTTAAACACGTTAAACACATGTTAAATGCACGTTAAACACATTAAACACGTTAAACGCACGTTAAACACATTAAACACACGTTAAACACATGTTAAACACATTAAACACACAGTAAACACACGTTAAACACATTAAACACATGTTAAACACGTTAAACACACGTTAAACACATGTTAAATGCACATTAAACACGTTAAACACACAGTAAAAACATTAAACATGGCCTAATAGCGACAGTGTCAAACACAAATCAGCTTCACTATAACTCGCAGCATTCACAGACAAACACTTGTCTTTATCTGGACACATTTTCCAAACAAATACAACANGACAGTGTCAAACACAAATCAGCTTCACTATAACTCGCAGCATTCACAGACAAACACTTGTCTTTATCTGGACACATTTTCCAAACAAATACAACATGCTAACATTATTAGCACAAGTCTGTGGCATCTTACATTGTATAAATTAGCCTAGAAACTAGCAGAGATTTACTCTGCTCATATTTCAGCCAGGATAAATCACACACAGTGTGTGGAGGCTTTATTGTCTTCACAGTTTATTGTTTCTTATCTGTGAAAATAAAGTAAATAAAAGCTTTGTATCCACTGAGGGAAATGGTTTCAGCTAACAGAGACAGACAGGAGGTCTGCGTCACTGTGACACTGTGGAGTTACATTTACACATCGACGTAGAGCCTATGGCGTAGGCACGATGTCGATTTGACGCAGCCTTACTCTCGAGATTGTGATACCTCAGCTCTGAAGCTGAGACCAAGTTCTGATCTGATACCAGAGCTGTTTTTGTCCAACATTTAGGATGTGTGAACCTCGCTATGTGGAGCTCAGCGGCATCATTGTGATGGATGTTGTGAAAACTGCAGCCCTTTGTGACCGCCTGAATGAATAGATGAATGAATGATGGAAAGGAAACACTGACTTGTATAATGACAAAGAAACTGGTTTGGTCAGGTCACGGCCGACACCGACTCACTGAACGATGTCAGTATCAGTATTCCCACTGCACAACAATCCCACTAACATCTGGTCAAATCTGGCTTTTGTATTTAATGGAAAAGGTTACAATCAGCTTTCACACCCGGGTCAAATGACTCTGCAGTAGAAAAGGGTATTTACCAGTGATGGAAACACAACACCCAGGTGAACGTGCTAATTTTAGCTCCTTTACAGGCGAGGTGCAATAACAACCAGCACACAGTACTGTCACTCTTCATGCTCAAACGTATATCCAAATTTACTTGACACCAAGTCAAGTAAAAGATTTAAAAAAGAAGTACTCAGTTACATTTTCACTGGCCTCCATGCTGCTTTCTACTGCTTACTAACCTGTTTCCAGGGGAACACTCTTCAATACGACACCGGTCCGTCCGTGATGTTGAATGTGACACATCAGTACAAAGAAACAGAAAGTCATACTCGTCTGCTGCAGAGTCGTGCGCACGGCTCTTCTCTACTGGCATTGGATCAGGAGTCTGTCGCCTAATTCAGTGTGGTATCCCGTGTTTTAAAAAAACCATATGTACACGTACTAATTTTGGTATTAAAGGGATATTAGTGGTCCAGGTGTTAAGGCACCTGTCATGAACCAAAATCTTGGCATTTCATATCCCCTCTCTCTTTTCCCAGTTCTTCCCATCTCTGTCGGCCAACTATCATAAAATGTCCTTACTACTTTTTTCATCATTAATAAATTTGCATATTATTTTCTTGATTGTTTTGTCCATAAAATTGTAAAAACGTTCATCAGATGTTGAATTGTCTGGTTTTGTTGGACAAAGAGTCCAAACAGTTTCCTGTCACATGAGACTAAGAAACACAGCCGATTCTCACATTTGAGAATTATTTGTCAGGTTTTGTGCTTGTAAATGATGATAAATTTAAATTTGTTAATCAAACTGTTTGGGATTATTTTTATTTCCATTAATTGTTAATCGTTACAGCTTTAAGGGGTAAAAGAAATGGTACATCATGACCACTGTGACTCTGACTTGTGTTCACAGTGTGGAGACTTTCTTTTTTATGTGTTGTCACTGATGTTTCCTGGGTGTGTGTTCTTGTTCAGGGCTTCCTGTCGTTTCTGTCGGCTCCTCTGATTGGTGCTCTGTCAGACATCTGGGGCAGGAAGTCCTTCCTCCTCATGACGGTCTTCTTCACCTGCGCCCCCATCCCCTTCATGAGGATCAGCCCCTGGTGAGATGAATACTGTGTGTGTGTCTGTGTCTGTGTGTGTGTGTGTGTGTCTGTGTCTGTGTCTATGTCTGTGTGTGTGTGTGTGTGTGTGTGTGTGTGTTCATGTTGGTGTGAAGCAGCAGCAGAGTCTGATGAAAACGAGGGACATGTAAACAGTAATTTAACTCTATATATTAATATCATCAGATCATGTTAAATGTTTCACGCAGCTGATTCTTTTCAGCATTGTCAGATATCAATCAATCAATCAATTTTATTTATAAAGCCCAATATCACAAATCAGATATCGCTTTAAAACAAATTATTATTCAGAACATTCCCCCTAAACGTCTGCAGCTCGTTCTTCTCTCTGTTGTTAAGACAAACGTGATGTCATAGAGTTGATCTGAACCTAATGATGTCATTACTGAGCACTGTGTGAACTTCCTGTACAGCTGCTTGTACTGTTCATGTATCAGACACTGATACGCTCTCTGTTGTCCGTCAGAGTTCAGCTGAAGTCAGTTTGTTCCTGGAAATCATTTAAACTGATGCACTGACCTCAGATCAGATCAGATCAGGTTACAGCTCTGCATCACTGCTCCGTCTCTTCTTTGAATAAAGGACTCTGGAGGCCTGTTTGTGAGCACGGCTGCAAACCAATGCTAACTTCAGTTTCTGATGAATCTGTTGAGGGTGATGTCATCAGGTTTTGTTTCCTCCAACCAACAAACTCAAAGAGATTCAGTTTGATATAAATCTGAGAGAAGTCTGACATCAGAGGAGTGGAGGAGGACAGTTGGTGTTTTTGCTTGATTCAGTATGATTTTGGTCGTGTCTGGGTCCTGGCTCAAAAAGAGGTGGAGGTGGTACCATCCTGATCACATGCACACACGTATGTGCACCGCACCCTCAGCTTCCTCAATGAAACACTTTCACAAGCAGTGTCTTTTTGGATTTTTAATAATTATGTGATCGGACAAAAAAAATGCGGTTATCATAAACTGTGACCTGATTGTGAAATGATTTTGTGTGTTTGCAGTAATAATAGTTACTGAAGTAACAGATCACATGACCTGGTGAAGGTGTCCGACACTGGGAACATGTTCACAAATATTCTAATATATATGTTTAATATTTTGTGAAACATTTTTATTGTGATGGCAAAATATTATTTACACAAATGTAGATCTGCTGTTTTTGAAGCATTTAAAATGTAAGAACTTATATTTTAAGTAATCCCCTCTCACACTATTACAAAACAGTTTGATCATCTTATCTTCTAATTTAAATTTTTTTGCTTTCCTCATTAGACTACATGTGGCAGACATGTTCTCTTATGTACTGAACATGTTTCGATGTGATGATCATGCTTTACAGATGTCTGTTTGACACGTTGTAGTCTCAGAACATGACGGCAGTCTCACACACACATAGAGGTGCATTGAGCAGCGTTCACAAACCCTGTATCCAGCTGCTGTTTGTAGCAGCATTCATAAACTACAACTGGCGACAAGAATCTATCATCAGCGGCAGGGAAGGAGTTTTGTTGTGGTGGTAAAGACGTAACAGGTGGAAACACTGTGGCGCACCAGGCTGGCGGCGGGCCCTGCTTTGCTTTGGTTCCAGAACAGATGACTGTTTTCTTCCTCTGGCAGTCTTGGCATGCCTCTCCCGGTGCACTGTGCTGATAACGATAGCGCCACCATATTAACATAATACCGTCATTGCAGTTACAAATGACCACATTACTATAAATCTATGAGTGCAACAGAAAATGGTGTTTTCCATTATGACTCCTGACAGAGTTTTGTCAAGAGTTGGAGGTGGGACAAACTTTGATGAAGGCAGCCGCCTCCTGATTCTCTCTGCAGGAAAAACTCTGTATGTAGGGATGTTACAATAACATTTTTTCTTCCCGATACCTGAGCTTGTGTATCAGCTGACACAGAGTTTAGATCCGATACCGCTGTCTCTAAAAAAAATGAACCGCTGTATACTGACCCTGTATGGGATTGAATTGATGGCTGTCGTTGTGCAGCATGGCTCAAGTTAAACTGGTGGGACTTCTTTGCTGCTCTGAAACGGAAGTTGTAAACTGGTGCTTTATCCAAGTGTGAAACTACTTTAAAGTTTATTAATATTACGTGGTGTCAGATTAGTGCATTGACTCACATACTCACCGATACCTGAGCCAAGACTTTAGGCAGTATGGGAGGCACTTCTGATCCTGGTATCAGTGTTGAAACAACTCTAAATATATGAAATGATATCAGACTGGATGTTGGACTCAGCAGCTGAGTTTCTGTTAGAACAGGAGTCGGCAACCTGCGGCTTCGGAGCCACATGTGACTCTTTAGCTCCTCTCCAGTGGCTTCCTGTGGCTTTAGAAAATAAAATCATACAGAAGTGAATAGCAGTTATTATTATTATTATTATTGTTTTTTTTACATTTAAATGTTATATCTATCATTGTTGTAGGCCTACAGAAATTCTTTCATTCTCTAATTGTAAAAACGTGTAGCCTACACACAGAATTAAGTTTTTAACATTTTGTCAACTGCGTCTTCGGCTGGCACCTTTTCCTCTAAATGTTGCTGAGGTCATGTCTAAATGAACCTCAGTGGTGGTGCAGTACTCTGTTACCTTCAGAATAAGACTCAAATATGTTGTGCGGCTCCAGACAGATTTTTCTTTTCTTAATTTTTGGTTAAAGTGGCTCTTTTAATAGTGCAGGTCAACCTCGGTGTTAGAAGCAGCTCTCAGAGGGAATAATGGGGTTTTGAGATCAAATAAGTTCATGTTGTGATTTTTGTTCCTGAATATTAATTGTACTGTGAGTTAGAGGTTTGCGGTGTCCTCATGAGTCTGATATGGAGCTGTAAAGATTTAAATCCTCTCTGTTGTCAGTAGCTCCATGGCCACTGGTATTGTTCCAGCGTGCTTCAGGCAGTGGTCCAGCCCCTCCTGAAAACAAACAACTTAGACCCCTCCATGTCCAGCAACTACAGACCTACTTACATCAATCTGGGTTTAGGTCCGATCATAGCACAGAGTCTGCCCTGCTGAAAGTGTACAATGACCTACTACTCTCTGTCGAAACTGTGGCATCCTGGTTCTTCTTGACCTCAGAGCTGCGTTCTACACTGTGGATCACAACATCTTGATTGAACGCCTCCAGTTTGGTGTCGGCATCAGTTGCTCTGCATTAGACTGGTTCACTCCTTCCTGTGGAGTCCCTCAAGGCTCCATCTTAGGTCCTATTCTCTTTTCTTTGTACATGCTTCCTCTCGGCCAAATTATTAAAAAACATAACAACTCCTACGCTGACGACTCACAGCTGTATCTCCCTATCGAGCCTAACCACAAGTCTAGTGTTGCCAGTCTCATAAACTGCCTCAAGGACATAAAGAACTGAATGGCACAGAAGGACGAATCAGAAGTTGTCCTCTTGGGCCTCCCTGACTCCATTATAGGGATTTCTGACCAGCTCAGTAGCCTCTCTAACTATGTTAAACCCCATGTCAAAAATCTTGGTGTGACATTTGACTCCGCCTTTAAATTTGAGAAACAAATAAATGCAGTAGTAAAAGCCAGCTTTTTCCAACTTCAAGCCATTTGTCTCCCTCAAAGACCTGCAGACAGTCACCCACGCCCTAACCTCCTCCAGTTTAGACGACTGTAACTCTCTGTACACTGGTATCAGTCAGTCCTCTCTGTCCCGCCTCCAGCTGGTTCAGAACGCTGCTGCCAGTCTCCTCACTGGTACCCTGCCTGTAAAATTCAGAGTTGACTCTTAGGTTTTCCTGTTTGTGTACAAAGCCCTTAATGGTCTGGCCCCGTCCTACATCTCAGACCTCCTAACCCCCTTTTCTACGCCCAGGTCCCTCAGGTCAGCTGACCTGGGGCTCCTGGGTGTCCCACACTCCAGATTTAAGCTCAGGGGTGATCAAACCTTTGCTGTGTCTGCCCCCAAACCTCCTCCCAATCAGATCTGCCCCCTCCACTGACTCATTTAAGTCCAGACTCAAAACCTACGTTTATTCATCAGTGTTTGAGTCCCCCTGATGTGGTTTTCCTTGATGCTGCCTGTGTGTGTGTGTCGAGTCTCTAAATGTGTGAGATGTGTACCTGACAGTTATGTTGCCTTTCGTGTGTGTGTTTTGTAGCATTTTATTCCCTTTGTTTTTAAATGTGCTTTATAAATAAATTTGAGTTAAGTTGAGAAATTAATGTAAGTGATATTGATAGGTGATAAATGATTGTAAGTCATTTTTTAAAGACAGAAATGCTAAACTCAGTGGTTGCAGCTGCTGCTCTGTGAGGAAGATACTTCTGTTTTAGACTCTGAGAAACTCGTATGAACATTTTCTTTACAGCTTTCTGATGTTTCATAGAATAAAAACCAAATTGCTAAATCAGTGCAGACAGTGAGGTGTGGCGCTGGTCTGATGTCTCAGAGTCAGTGGAGTCAGTGTAGACTCAGCTGCAGCCCGCTGGAGTTTGAACAGTCACATGTTGTTCATGTGAGCGTCTGAGGATCAGCATGTACTCTGCAAAGCACAGAGCAGCCGGCAAACATGTTTAAACTAGAAACCACACTTTCCTCTCCTGCTGGTCGCAGCACTCAGCGTCACAGCGTTCAGGAGGTCTTCATGTGTTTGGTTGTTTGTGTTTCTCAGTGTTTTTCCATTAAACATAAGCAGATGATTATTGTAACAGTGCATAATACCTGAAAAATAATTTATTATATTTATGTTTATGTCTCACCAGACAGAATATGTTGTTTGATTTTTGTGTCTGTATTCATAGTTTCTCTAAAATCACTGACATTTTAAACACACTCGAGGCAGTAACTGGAGATCAGCTGATATTAACTCATTTGATGATGCTGAGACTCTGCAGCCTTCATCAGTCACATGTTTCATGCATCACGTTTCACAAACACTCCAATCAAATTAAACTATTTTTTTGTCTATTAGTCAGAAGCGATGATGGCACCAGTTAAATTTTTTAATCTGGATCACTGCTTGGAGTTTTATTTTGGCATCTTACTTGATGCAGGTTTAAAGTGACAGCAGGGCTGCAAACTATCAGTTATTCTCTCATGTGATCCAGCGTTACTGGGCGCTGTGGAAAAATAAGACCTTTTATTTTAGTAATTGTCTGGATAAGAATAGAAAATAGAAAAGAGAGTAAGGAAAAATGTTTGTGATTCCATACTATCTCCCCTTTTTTGTTTTCTAAAATACAAAATTCAGATTTTCTAGAAATGAACTGATCATATGAGCAGAGTGGTTTCTAGACAGCCAGTGCAGCCAAAATATTTACCACTGTGTGTGTGTGAGAGAGTGCGGGTCAGAGCGAGCTTGATGTCGTCAAAAGCAAGGCAAGCAGTGTGACGGCAACTGAATGCTCACGCTCCTGCACTGAGCTGCCTTTACGCCTGCAGTACAGCTCCGCCCCCAACACGTGCCTTATAACTGAACCACAACCAGCCGTCCATGACCAAATTAATTTAAAAGAAAATGCGGTGCTGTCTTTGAATTGCATCGATACACAGCACCACAAATAACCAAATATGAAGCTGGGCTGAATATTTAACTGTTATGCATTAATATAGTTATCATGCTCCAAGTTTCATTGACAAGTCACCATTTTAAGAGACATTAGTTTTGGATTAATGGAATCTGAAAACACTTCGCTTTGACGCCTTGTAAAGTATGTTTTTAGTGGGGACGTGGTGATGATGTAGACGACACCAAACGCCTCGTTAAACCACCAGTCTGTCTAATAGCGTGATTATTATCTACAACATAACACAGCTCTGATGACCTGCTTCCTCTTCCTGAGACTGAAGAATCGGGACCTTGAAGAATTCAGGATGACGACAAAGTTCCACTTTCCAATGAGACATCCTGAGGATTGTGTATTGTCCTGCTGTGTGTAATGTGTGTGTGTATAATGTGTGTCTGAACGGCTGCTTCCTGTCTGTGTGTGCAGGTGGTACTTTGCTCTGATCTCAGTCTCAGGGATCTTCGCTGTGACCTTCTCGGTGATCTTCGCCTACGTGGCCGACATCACAGAGGAGCACGAGAGGAGCACAGCCTACGGACTGGTAACTACAGCTACACACTGCAGCTACACACTGAAGATACACACTGCAGCTACGCTCTGCAGTTTTAAAGGGATAGTTTGGATTTTTTAAAGTGGGTTGTATGAGGTATTTGTTCATAGTCGGTGCGTCACCTACAGCAGATGTCGGACGTCACAGCTCCACTTTGGAGGAGCAGGCTGGAGTCTGACATGGAAATGGGGGTCAGCAATAGAACGTATTTTAGTCACCTCAAAAAATTAGTATCAGTTAAGGGGTATTGTATATTGAGAATGTTTTCACTGCTTTACCTCTCTGTCAGACGGCCTGTGCTGATGTGGAAGCTCTTAACGGCCTCAGTTCCCCATCTACACTCTCGTCAAAGCTGACGGACAGTCGGCCGCTTCAACACGTGGACTTAATTAATCCGGAAAATGATAGGTAGCTGATTTGAATCTGATATTCAGTTGAAGACCTGGGACTGGTTGCACAAAACACCTCAAGTTTTCTCCTTAAGTATGACACTTACGGCTTCATTCCTCCTTAGCTGAGGGACTTATTTAAGGATGTTGCACAGGAGGGAAAACAAGAAGGCATTGACTTCACTGCAAGAGATTTTACAGCGGTAAAAGTTTCCATGAAGTGTGTTTATGTGCTTGGACTCACACTGTGACATCCTGATATTGTCTCACAGAGTCTACTTTATAGATAGTAAAACAATGGCAGAAGAAAAGACGACAAGAAAACCAAGCTGATTCCCAGAGGAAAAGGTTTAACTTCTGGAGGAATACAATAATAGACAGCACAAGCTAAAAAGTAAATTTGATCCCCAAGTAAAAGAAAAAAACGAGTGTGGGAGGAGAACTGCAACGGAAATGAATTCAGTTGAATCTTAAGTGTAAAATCAAAAGCGAGTCCGTTGGCTTCTCCCGTCTGCAGAACACTCTGCTCAGGATGTGTTCATTTTTCTCATTTATGGCCATAAAATCGATCATGTTGTGACACAGTCAGAGGTACCTAATTTTTTTTTTTTTTTTTTTTTGCTAAGTTGCTGAGGTCTTATGTGCAGTGGTTTGGGGATTCCGTCAGTATAAGACCAAGACAAGGAGAAAACCTTAAATGTTTAAATGAACATTTTAAGGAAACCTAAAGGAGAAGACTTGAGGGTATTTTGTCTGACTGATTTTATTTTGAGGAAACCTTAACTGGGACTTTAAGGAAAATCTTAACTAAAGGTGTTTTGTGTCTCTGGATGAGACTCTGATTGTGTGTTTGCACCTCAGAACAAACAGTCCAGTTTTCCGCTGGACTTTGTTCTTCATTAGCTGGATGGATGAGATGATTCTGTGCAGCCATGGTTACTGTCATTTCCACTGACAGGTCAACACCCACATTCATTACTCAATGAGCTTATATGTTACAGCAGGAGGCAACTTCAGTGCACAAAGACTGCTCTGTTTTACAGCTGGAGGATGCTGACATAAAGGAGCTGCAGATGAATTGATTACATGTGAATTTATCTGAAGGAAATCAGCATTAAAGGGACAGTTTGGATCTTTTAAAGTGTGTTGGATGAGGTGTTTATTCATAGACACGCCCCCAGTTTATAGAAGCAGGCTGGAGACGACACAGAAGCTAATGAATGTACTGCTGTGGACGGGTCAGCAACAAAATGTGTTTTAGCCACCTAAAAAATTAATCTATTAATCTATATTCAGAGTATTTTCAGTGTCTTGTCTCCAGCCTGCTTCTCCAAACTGGCGTCGTGCTGACATCTACTGTACGCAACACACTGACTGTGGATAAATATCTGTACAACCCCACTTCAAAAAGAATCTATTCCTTTAATCCCTCGGTGTGTGTGTCTCTGTGACAGGAAGTGGGTTTAACTTTTTGTCAGAAAACACTTTCACACAGCAAAAACAACCAAAGAAACCAGAGCCTCAGAGCTTTACAGATGAACCCACCTCACAGCTGTGGTACCTGACTGAGTGTGATATTATATAACCACATAATGGAGCAGCGCTGCAGCTCGTGTATTCACAGTAATATCATATTGTGTGTTTATAATGGAGGTCCTGCAGAGCTGTTTCCTGGTGTTTCCTGCCATTATGGAGATCTGCACTGAACCGGGGTCACAGCCAGGACAGGAAGTCCCAGTGCACATGGACTCTTTGAGTTGTCTGTGTGGTTTATGTCGAGGTGTAGAGACCAATAGTGATCGTGTTCACAGATACAAGCTGCTGCAGTGCATTCTGGTCTCTGTCTCCTGCTGTGGGTGGATGCTGGGTGCACTGTGGCTCTGACACGGCGTCCTAGTGCGCTGTTTTGAACTAAACTTTGAAACTCTGAATTCAGAGCTGATCTACTTCCTGTCTGTCTGTGGGACAGATGTGACGCTCTGACAGCTCTGCACTAACGTGATCAACTTCTCCTCCATATTTATCACACACTGATCCTTACTGAAGAAGGAAAGACATCTGTCGGCTATGATTGGTCGGTCCCCGTCACATGACATGCGGTGTGTGCTGCTGATTTCAGTTTACCTCAGGGTGCAGCCATCATGCTTTGAAAAATAGGTGCTCGAGAGCGCATGGGGTCAGCCTGGCACCTGCCGCGTGTCTACTTTAAAGACAATGAATTACAGGGCACAAAAATCACGGCATGTGTACGGCTCCTTATTCTGACGCTGGCGTTGGAAGCACCACCATGGACGAGGAACAGCTGAAATGAGGAGTTACCTCCGGGATACTTCCTTATTTCACTACAGACACCTGAATAAGGAAGATGAAGGTTTCTGTGAAGACGTGTGTGGGATCCTCAGCAGAGCTAGCTTGTTTTATAAAGCGGAGTTGGTGGTATGAAGCAGTCTGGGAGCTACAACCTGCGATAGTACTGTTGTGAATATAAATAATAAGGAAGTAAGTACTCACCATCTTTTCAGTGTTTACTCTGAGACACAGCTGCTGGGTGACTGGTTTGTTTCCACGACGTGACGGACTTCCATATTTGACGGATCTCATCCGATGTAACGTGATGCGACATGATAGTCTGACATTAGTGTCCAGTTAGGACACGGTGAAAGTGACAACACAACCTGCCAAACTCTGCTTTAGCAGCAGGTCGATCAGTTGATCAGATGTACCATAAACATTTATTATTTCCTCACTGGATGAGGTCACAAATGTGTTTTTTATTTAGGACATTTAAAAAAGACAGGCCACCATTGCTGTGAATAAATCCTCAGGTCAGAGACTTGATCAGCTTTGACTTGTCGGATGTGTGATGCTCCATGAAAACACCCATTTAATATGCACAGAACATGAGTTTATAATCAACGATACGTGAAGTCAGTAATTTGTTTACGGACAGATTAATGACCACAGACACACACTGAGGTTTCTAACATGCGCTCAGGTCATGTGACTGCAGCTTGTGACCACTGAAGGCTTCAAGAAGCCGAGCTGCTGCTCTCGTGTCTCCACTGCTGAACTAAACTCATGTGTTGATACAGTTGATAAAACAGCTGGGTTTAGATTCAAACGCACAGAAAGTGAAAGTTTTAAGTGAGATTTAAAGAGTTCAGTCATCAGCTGGTGGAGTTTTGTTCCTCAACTAACAGCCTGAGTAAAGTTTAACCTCTCTTCTTCCTCTCATCAGGTCTCAGCGACCTTCGCGGCCAGCTTGGTGACGAGCCCGGCCATTGGGGCCTACCTGTCCTCACAGTACGGCGACAGTCTGGTGGTCCTGGTCGCCACGGTGATCGCCGTTACCGACATCGCCTTTGTGTTCTTCGTGGTCCCCGAGTCGCTGCCAGACAAGATGAGACTGACGTCCTGGGGCTTCCCCATCTCCTGGGAGCAGGCCGACCCGTTCGCTGTGAGTTCACAGACACTGAAACACGACAGAGGGGCAGGGCGGGGAAACAAGAAAGTCTCTATCTCAGTCAGTGTTTGGTTTGTCCGAAACATGGCGGTGCAAGGAGACTTTTTACACAAACTTTCATTAACTAAATGTTTCAAGTTCAGTTTTAGTAATAAAAGGTTTGTTCAACCAACAACAATCTTCTGTTTATATTTAAGGATCACTCTAAATGATGATAAGATAAATTCTGTGATACCATGAAACTGATCTTTTCTGAGACTGTTTTCATACACTGAATATCTCATAGTGTTGCAACCCTGCTCTCTGTGCAGATATAAGTCTCATTCTAAGGTAACGAAAACAATAATTATTTTATATTCCATCTCTGACAGTATTTCCCCCTGAGTCCTACACACTGGAGCTTTAGGCTTCACTCCCTTCAAAGCCAGACTCCATTAACAAAAACAGTAACTTTACCTCACTGAAGACAGGAGCTGCTGGTCTACAGCTGTGTGACTTTGGTGAATCTGAATTAACACTTTAAAACTCTAGTTGTCTTCATGGGGCCAGTAACTGATATAGTGTTACTGATAAGTGGTGCAGAGACACACAGGATGTATAAAACTGTAGTTGAGTGTTTGAGGCAGGAGACATGGATGTGATTCCTGCCAGTGAACCAACAGGACTTCATAAATAGCCTCTTTATTAATAACTACACTGGCGCGCGCACACACACACACACACACACACACACACACACACACACACACACACACAGAGGAACATGTTTGTCTCTGACTGTTTAATTTGGAGACGTTAACAGCAGTAGATGATTCTCAGAGAGACACACAAGATAAATCAGGTCTCAGTGTTCAGAACAATAAAAACTGATAAGCTGAGAGGTTGTAACACCGTCAGGGTGCAGCATCGATCCCTGAGGTACTTAACGTGTCTGCCAGACGTCAGCTGATGATTGATTGATTGATGACAGATGTATTGATGAGTTGTACTGACGGCTGACGGTGTTGTGTGTTCAGTCTCTGCGTCGTGTTGGCAAAGACACCACAGTGCTGCTGATCTGTGTCACAGTGTTCCTGTCCTACCTGCCTGAGGCCGGACAGTACTCCAGCTTCTTCCTCTACCTGAAACAGGTGACTCTCACACACACACACACACACACACACACACACACACACACACACACACACACACAGAGTAAAACCTTTCTACATGTTGTGACATCAACATAATGATCAGGATGATGGTGACTGATTCTTTATTCTAAAGCACGTCGTGTGTGTCGGAGCTCCTGTCAGTGGTGAAATGTTGTGAGATGTTGTGTTGTGTGTTTCAGGTGATCGAGTTTTCTCCTGCAGCCATTGCTGCCTTCATCGCCATGGTGGGAATCCTCTCCATAGTCGCTCAGGTACACAGACGGCCAGCCGACAGCATCACACAGGAGCAGTTACACAATTTATCCAAACACAGAAAACATGGATGTTGGAGACAGTAAAACAAACAGAGTGACAAGAAAATACTTTTTTGATTTTGACCTTCTGTTAACTGCAGAGATTTTATCATGAACACAAAGAGGATGAAAAGTAAAATGACAGCAGTGATACACGACCTTGGAATTAATATCTCTTTTTCAGAGATCGTCTCTAGATCTGAGTTTTATAACCTTTTACTCGCCAGGTGCAGCGACACATTTTGACAAATAAACGCCTGGTCTGGTTGCTACGCATTTTTTTTATTTTTATAGAAGATCTTTGGATGCATAAAACTGGGAGCTAACATTATTTAGCTGCTTAGATCACACAAATACAAATGTTTTAGCTTTAGTCACGATGGAGATGCTGCACATCGTTTGCTAATTTCATTTTATAGAAACCATGAGCACCAGATTTACGGGCATGACGAGGAACAAGTGCTTCCTTGATTACACAGAAAGTAATTTATATTCCGGTCCACCGATCAAAAGCAGCAAAGTGTTTTTCATAAAAATGAATCCATGTAATGAGTGTTGTTTTAACAAGATGAAGTGTTGTGTCGGTGCCGTGATCCTCGGGTGCCCTGAAACAAGTGTCATTACATAACTGATATGTTGTTCAAACCCTAATTTGAATAACAAAGTAGGATCTCTGACTGCAGTCACAACTAACGAGTAATATTCAAATATTCAACTAAATAAATAATTTATTTAATATTATTTCCCATCTCTGCTGAGCAAAGGTTTTGTATGAAAGGTATTAAAGCGCTCTCCCATACAGCTGCCTGTCCTAGATCTAGGCCTGATGAGTTCAGTGATTGAAGCAAATATTAGCTCAGGATGCTAACTGACCTTTAACAGTAACCATCATTGATTTATACAAATGGCTTTATTGAATCCACACAGACACACACTGTACCTGAACAGTCCTCTGTCTAACTGATGTAAAACCAGGAGACGCCATCATGAAGCCGAAACATTTAAAATATACATTTCTCTCTTTTTGCTTTTTGTTTTTTATTGTTTAAATTAATTTATTATTTTGGTCAGTGGGCACAGGAAGTGATTTACAGCGCAAATATGATGTTTACACACAGTCAGTTTAATAGTTCTTATAACATTGTTTCATATATCAGAAAGATTCAACACTCAGAATGAGGTAAAGTAATGTTAATGTTATGTCTGTGTGTCTGTCTGTGTTTCAGACTCTGTTCCTCAGCGTGTTGATGAGGACCATAGGTAATAAGAACACAGTTCTCCTGGGTCTGGGCTTTCAGCTCTTCCAGCTGGCCTGGTACGGCTTCGGCTCCGAGCCATGGTGAGTACACACCCTGTGTCTGGTGTTAGCAGGGGTGTAAAGATCCATCCATCTGGATCAATATATCAATTCAATTATCGAGTGTAATCGTCTTTGAGACAGATGGTCCTGAAGTTTATAAAAATGCTGATGGTTTGGGTTCAAATGGAAACAAGGTTGTTTGTGTTGTGTGTCAGGATGATGTGGGCAGCAGGAACTGTAGCAGCCATGTCCTCCATCACCTTCCCAGCAGTCTCTGCTCTGGTGTCGCACAGTGCGTCACCTGACCAGCAAGGTCAGTACACCTGTCTGTCTGTCTGTCTGTCTATCTGTCTGTGTGGTGGGAAGGAGAATATAAATCATGGGAGGAAGATTTTTACCTTCTCTTGTGTCATGATGTGAATTTTTCTGTGCAAGGTTTTTTTTTTGTTTTGTTTTGTTTTTTTTGCATATTGTTTGATGTCTGAACCCGTCTTTACCTGGTGTGCGTGTGCATGTGTGTGTCTGTGTGTGTGTTCAGGTGTGGCCCAGGGGATGATCACAGGTATCAGAGGTCTTTGTAATGGTTTGGGTCCGGCTCTCTACGGCTTCATCTTCTTCCTCTTCAACGTGGAGCTGAACGACATACAGCCGGTGCCAGGAAGGACCTCACAGAACACAGAGGTACACACACACACACACACACACACACACACACACACACAGGAAGTCCACTCACCTCACCTGAGATCACAGACTTTACAGAAACCTTCTCTCTGTCCACAGAAGTCTCTGATCCCCGGCCCTCCCTTCCTGTTTGGAGCGTGCGCCGTCTTGTTCGCTCTCCTCGTCGCCATCTTCATCCCCGAGCACCACCGACTGGCCGACGTCAAGACCTGCTCCGCCCGCAAGTCCAGCAGCACCTCCTCGTCCTCCTCCGCCGCACACGCTCAGAACTCCAGCCCTCTGGCCACGCCCACCAGTGATGCGGAGGACATCGAGCCTCTCCTACAGGACAGCAGCATGTGACTGACAGCCGGCCCGGCCATTCACAACACTGAGGCCGTTAGCACTGTCTGCTAAGCCCCGCCCCCTTCAGAGTCAACCGTATTCAGCTTTTATTTTTTTATTTCTTCAGACTGTTGAGATTAAAGAGCCAGAGCGCGTTAGACGGCAACCACGCTGACGACGTTTATTTATTCTCTTCGACACGTTTGATCAGTTCTGGTTTCTTTATGGGTTCGTGTTCAGACGGAGAAAATAAAATGGCTTCTTCATGGTCCTTCTTTTCTTCTGCTGTGACCTTAATCTTTGTCATCGCTGTTGTCCGCCACAGCAGCAACAGCGTTTATTTTACTAATAAATTCTAACCTTTTTTTTTTTCCAATTTTAATCACATTCTGCGTCATTGTTTTAACTCCTGAAGCCATCTTTAGCACCTGCCCAGGTGTGTTGGTGCAGGTGTTACCAAAGGGCTTTACGTCGGTCACCGCTGCAGGATGTTTGTCACCAGAACCCCGTTAAAGTAAGAGCTGCTGTTTAGTGCCAAACAGATAAACTCAGTGTTCATGTCGGATCCAATCGCTCTTCACTGAAGTAGGAAATGTGATTTCAGGCCTTTTAGCAACAAAACAAACTATTAACTGCAGATAGATTAATGTGTTCTCCCTCCTGAACGCCATGTTTACAACTCAAAGCAGCGTCATGGAATTCGTAAAACAAAACGACCTGATTTCAGACATCGAACCAAAAACACACTGACTTTGAGACGAGGGAACAGGAAATGCTAACATACTAATTTCTGTGTTTTAGGACTGATTCCTGCAGCGCTCTATAATCTTAAAACACGTCTAATGTTGCACAGAATATGATCCTTGTGTCACTAATTTAAAATCCAGAGCTGCACTGCGACATCGTTCACTAGTCTCATGTGACTGTAGCTGGTGTGTGCAGCTAGTTGATGGCGTAAGTGTCTAATGTGCACGTAAAGCTAGCGAGCGCTAACAGTTTGCTGATCCACACATGCCTGTTAAGTATGTGTTTAATAATGTACGGCTGCCAAACCACAAATCTAATACACGGCTCAAGAGAAGCTCAACAGAGAGGAGACCCAAAACAAAACACAGAGTGATTAATGGAGAGAAACATGAAATAAAATAAATGATATAATATAGTCGTGTTTTCTGATGAAAGTCAGTTTTTAGAAGAGCAGACGGACCGTGCAGTGTGATCAAATCTCGTTCAGCAGGTGTAGATACATGACGGGGATGTCTCGTGAAAACTATGCTGAGTTACTCTGACGTACGTTGAGTTACTCTGACGTACGCTGAATTACTCTGAGGTAAAACGCACCATGAACTGCTTTTTGTCCGTTTAACAGTTTCTGAAATCCATCAGTCTGGTTGCCGTCTAAACCCTCTGGAGTCAGTTTGCCTTCCCTCTGTGTGCTTCACCCAACTCCACCTGTCAGGTCTGCAGAGGTCAGGAGATCAAAAGCTCCTCGCTGTTCGGCACCAGCGGGGAGGTGGAGGTGCGTTGGGTTCACTGCACAGCTGACACCAAGTGTCCCCAAAACTACGGACTGTTGTTTTACCTGAAACTCTTCAGCAGGACGGAGGCACCGGAGAGAGGACGGTGAGGTCAGAGCTGCTCGGCATTGTGGGATGTGATGCAGGAGGGATGATGGGAGTCGCCTGTTCCTCTGTTGTCGCCGTTTATATTTAACCTCCGCAGTACCGACTGTTTTTACTCTGGATTTTATTTTAATTTTTTTAATGTCTGCAAAACAACGAGACTTGTGGATATACAGTTACCATGACAACGGACCGTCACTCACACTGAGCATGTGCAAGCTCGGGCCGGCTGTGACGTCATCGTCCTCTCCTGCTGAGTGTTTTCATACTTGAGGACAAAAACTAGAAACATTGATATGTTTATGAAATTATTTCAGACAGTGTGAAGTGCTTATAGAGGCGTTCATACGGAGCCCGGCGGCGTCACGGAGAAGAGAAAGAAATATAATTTCTAAACACGATTTACTGACTCCTGCTCTGGCTCAAATATCATGTTATGTATTTTATGTCCTCCTGTGATGCAGAGGGCAGGAAACACCTGCAGTCAGACTGATTTTAACGAAGCGCTCCAGTCTTTATGAGCCACGTGACGTCCACAGTTCTCCTGTAAAATGTGTTCAATGGATCTGAAAGACGCAAGCGTTGTGTTTTACAAACAGAACCTGAAGTATCTCCACATATCTGAGTCTGAATTAAATCCAAAAGTTCCAGAGAGACAGTGAAGGAATTGCACCTGGCGATACTGACGACATGAAGCTCAGTAGTTTTTGTCTCCATGGCGTCTCCGGGCTCCGTGCGCTTTATTTATCTCACTGGATCATATCTCAGTATCACATCTATCGATGTTTCATCTGTTCTTCTTGTGTTTGAATACTTGAAGTGTTTCGAGCCTGTCAGTTATCTTCAGGCTCCTCCTCCTCCCGCCGCCCACCTGACACCGTGCAGGACGAATCAAGACATAGTTTGAACATTTGTTTCTGATCGTCACCTGTGCCATGAACGTTCTGTTCTCGTCGTCTTCAGTCTGAGTTTTAAACCACGGGAACGTTCGGGGTTCGAGGGTCGGCGGGTCGTTGAGAACCAAATGGTGCCATTCTTCTTCTTCTTTTGCCTTTTTTTGTTTTTAGATGTTTTTTAAGAGGTCAAACCACATGTTTCCAAAAACAACCCACCCTTCCCTCCTCAGTCTGAGCTGGTACTGTGCTGTTGCCATAGCAACGGGTTTGTTACTGTATTTACGCCAAACTTTACCTGGCTGTTCAGAACGGAGACAAGATGGCCGACAGTTTTCTTCTCTGGTTAAAGATGAAATTACCAGACCCCATGTCACACCTCACCTCTCACCCAGTGCATGCTGGGACAGGCTGTGGCCCCCAGTGACCCTGAGTGGAGCGGACCTGAGGTGGTTTCTCATGTTTTAGTCTGCTGATTGATTTTCTCCTTACTGTTAAAAGAAGTCGAGAACGGCCGTGCTTGGGATTATTTTTCAGATCCCATTATCTTCAGATCACAACTTATTTTGTTATCTTGAGAAAACCAAAAAGAGGTTTTTGTTTCTAACGACGTAACTTCAGCAAACAAACTTCACATTTAACCCCCGAATAACTCGAGTTATGAATCGTCTCGACCATCATGACGGAGATCTCAAAGGCTGAATTCAGGTGATAAAATGAAGCAGATACTCAGTGTAGAGTTGTCAGTAATCATCTTGTGATCTCGAGAAAACAAAAGTCTCTTTCTGGTGATAAATGTCGTCCTTTTGTTTTCTCAAGAGTCGACATAAATGAACCCATCAGGTCCAGAAGACAACCTTTGTGATCTCCAGATAACACTGTACCTGCAGTTATTTGCAAAGAATAACTGCAGGTACGCCGTCCCCGTAGAGAACATCTGCAGAGACTTCAAACATCACTAAACTCAGAAATAATTACAGATTATTTGGATCCCTGTTAGCTAACGTCCGAGCATCAGCTTGTCTCCGGCGGTCTGACATATAAATCTCACAATTAAACATCTCCATGTTGGATGATGTTCATAGTTTCCAACATGAACCTGAATGTAGCATCAGTGTCGTCACAGCTGCAGAAACACCTAAGCGTCCTGGTGTTGATGATGATGATGATGATGATGATGATGATGATGTGCAGCTTCATGAAGCACAATCATGTTACAACCAGAGTGGATGTGTCTGAAGAGTTCTAAAATTCAGTCTCCTCATCTTTAAAACATGAAGTATTATTTTAAATTTAGCTCCGTCAGCTCGTCTGACTTTTGTTTTTAAAAACCAAACTTTTAATCTTTAATCTCGAGTTTGATTTTTTTCTCAAAGATGATGTCAAAAACAGGAAGTTGGACCTACAGTATATTTTTCTACAGTCAGTCTGAAGCCCTGCAGAGGCGTTGACTCAATGTCCCAGAATCCACTGCAGTGTTAGAGACAACATCCTGTTTGTTCTGATCCTGTCTCTGCTCTTTGTGTCGCTGATGTGTTCACGTCCCATCGGAAAGTTTCATCACTTCATTTATGAAGGTTGATCCTGCGTCACGTTGGAGGATAACTGGGAAGTTTTGGCCTGATTCCAAAGTGAAGAGTTTCTGATTCAAAGCTGGTCTGAACAGATGATCTGTGGTGTGAGGCGTTTACAGACGTCCTCTAAATGTTACTGACTGGATCAGAGACTCACTGATTTTAAATGACTTTATGACTTTAAATCCTGTAGTGTGAAAGAAGGAGCGGTGGAATATTGATCACTCAGTCTGTTTCCATGACGACAGAGAAAACTGATTTATATAAATCCCTGTAAACATGTCAGTGTGAGTGAAATGGTCCTGCAGTGAATGTGTCACAGTGGGACTAACACACCCAGATCATGTGACTCCTGCATGTATACCGTTAATCAGACCCAAACTGGCCGAGGCGCTCTGAGCATGCTCCACAGTTTCCGCCCCGGGCTTTGACCCGGAAGTCCAATAGCATTAAATGTGTAAGAGAAGAAGAAGCCGGTAACAACATGGAGAAATCTACATCCAGAGCCGTGACTTTTTGGACGGACCAAATGTACAGAGCTGTAAAGTTGTCCACCATGGTAGCAGTTAGCTGCTAGCTAACCGTAGCTAACTTGTTTGTCCATTGTTTGGTCTGTGACGTAATAGGTCAACAGGAAAAAGGTCCAATACTAACAAGCTGAAAGGGGGCATATCTCCACCTATCGTAGAGGAGTCGCACATACTTGGCTCAATAAATGGATTCCCCTCCCGTGCTTGTATACTGGGACAAGGACAGTAGGCCAGTTAGATGTCCTCGTCCAGCTGGAACTGGAGCTCCACTTCACTGTAGCGAGTGTAAAGGCCACTGGTTTCTAACCTGGAGTTCTGACCCATCACCAAAGCCTCAGCGGAGGGTCGTGAGGCCTTCTTGATTCAAAGGGGTGTAAGAAAACTTTTTTGTAATATACAATAGGCCTATATCTCAGCATTTCATCTGTGTCTGTGAAGAAAACTAACATGGGATAAATAAAATAGTTGAATCTGAGTGAACACAAGCTTTATTCACAGAGCTGATAAACAGCCTCGTCCTGCAGCAGGAAAGTGTGCAGCTGATGGAACAATGACCCACAGCCAGGGAGAAGAAACCCTCAATTTGTCAAACAGTAAGCCCATTAAATATGTATGACTGTTAAACATTTAAATATATATATATATATATATATATATGTAATACAGTCAGAGCATCGTATTAAAAGTCAGTAGAAATATCAGGAAAACTCATCTGATGTGATTTTCAGGAAATAATCTGCTCCAAATTCATTCAAATCTTTTGTTTTACACAAACTTCCTGCAGTTGTTACGTTCACTGTTTGAGTTAATTTTACAGTTTTTCTGCACTGAATGTGAAATATCTATAAAACATGTCACAGCCCGGGGTCGTCAGCTCACTTAATAATAGTAAAGAGGTCACTTAATCGTCTCATCGTAAACTGAATTTCTTTGAATAATCACAGAGCTTTGAGACATTTTAACAGGTTTATTTCACAGTTTTAGTCTCAAAGGTTCGTTCAGTTCTGCAGTTCTTATATTTAGACGGAGCTCCTGCGCAGCTGCTCGTGTTCAGACGTTTAACATTTGAGAGCTTTTGTAGAAAAACGTGTAAAAAGTTTGAATTTTAAGGTGTTAAATAAATGTTCTGTTGGTGAAACTCAGATAGAAACATTTCAGACTCCTCATGTCAGAGTTAAGTTTCCTGCAGTGATGAAAGAGTTGAACTTTCCGCTGGGACGTGAAGCGACAGCTGAACTGATGACTCAAGCTTTTTGTACGTCAGCACTTGTTACTGAATATAAAACCTTTACGTTACTGAGACAAGACTTTTATTTTAACTGATAATTACTAGGACAGAAACTTATGCAGTCAAACATTGCTCCTCCTCTTCCTCCTCCTCCTCCTCCTCCTCGTGTACATGATGCAGAACATTTGCTGATTGCAGCACTTTAATTTCTCTGAACGTGTGCCTCGAATCATTCTTCATGTTCATATCTGTTTTTATATATAAACCAAGAGACGCTGACGACGTCTTCGTGTTGTGCATTTGCAGTTGCTTTCTTTTATCTTATTAAGAACATAATTTTGAATAATATCTATGATAATAATAAGAATAATAAAGAGAAATGTATGGAATTTGAAACCTGGACTTGTTTGTTTTTATTTGAAGTATATTTAGTTTATTATATATTTCATGATAAATAAATGAAATTAATTTGTTTAAGTTATAAAGATTTGTCAAAGTAGACTAATGCTCAAACTTTAAAAAACTAGTTTGAGATTTTAGGAGATATGTGTCTTTAAAATAAAAATGTATTTATTTGAAAACAATAGGGTTATGAAACTTGTAATAATCAGACAATGTGAACAAAAACCATCTTCACAAACGCTTTATTAAAATTTAAAAAATCTATCAGAATAAAAACAGACAAACGTCTCAAAGCGTCAAACAGAAAATCAGTTACACAACACAAATATAAAAGTATAAACATTTTTTTCTGAAGGGAATAAAATCACTGTTTTTGTAAGAATTCTTATTTACACTTTTTTTTTGCTGAAATTAATTAAAATCCATAATTTGATTTTTGAAAATAAATCTAATGAAAAAGAATCGAACAAATTTACAAACCGTGTTTAATAAATAATAAATAAACTGAATGAAATCAGGCAACACACATTAAAACATGTAAATAAGTGTTTCCTGTTGACTTCTCCTTTATTTGTCGGACATTCAGCCTCGTTTCCTGTTTGGTCACATTCTCATCTTAAACCATAAAATCCAGTTTATCCCAAATATTTCACTGATGTGTTATGAGGAGAAAATAAAGTTAAATAAAATAAAACGTTCAAACTAAATCACGATACTCACTGCACAGACATTATGGCAATCTGTTCGTGAACAGAGTTTATAATGTAAATATACAATATGACAGGGTTAATAATGTGTGTATATATGGTGTGAAAGGGTTAATAGTGAAGCAGTGAACGTCAGTGAATTTACATCAAACTGTTCATTTGTTGGAAATCTGATTTTGGAATGAAGTTATTTTTGAAAAGCAAAAATTAATTCTCAGTCAGCAGGAATCAATAAATCCATAAAATAAACTACAGTTGTTTAAAAAAATAAAACCTTCAGTCACTCAAACAGCTCAAAAATATGGAAGTTCGTCACTGCCAAGGCAAGAAAAATAAATTCAATATTTAAAAATGAAAAAATAAAAATCCAAAGTCAAAATTTTGATTTATGAAGTCAAAATACTGAGACAGTGGGAACAAATTGGTGTTTATATTTATACGTACTTTTATGTTTAAAGTATAAATGTGCAAGAATTTTTGTTTTGACTTAGTGCTCATAATTTATTTTTTGTAATTATTTTTTGTTTGTTTTATTTACTTTTTGTTTATCTAAAGATTTTAGACATTTAAAATGTTGTGTTGATTTGACACGTCAGTAATTTGACTTGACTTTGATGAAATTCAGTGTTTTGCCTCCATCTTTATGGGTCTGAGTCCACAATGACGGAGTCAAGAGGAAAGCAAAGAAAAAAAAGCTCCCAGCTAACATGAAACACACCTGAGCCCACACACACCTTCAGGTAAGAATCTCTTATAGTAGTGTAAAATATTTAATGGGTCAAGCTTGGGACTGTTAATGAGCCTGCCACAGTTCAGTTGTTTGATTTAGCGAACGTTAGCCATCACAACTGGACCTTTTGAACGTTAGCTGTCAACATTATTTCCACGGAGTCTAACGTTAGCTAGCGCACTTGTTGCTCCAAATTCCACTTGTTTAAGATTACCAACATTAGCGCTTTGGGACAGCTTATTAAACGTCATTAAAGTTCACCAACGATTACAACATAATTTTAGCTCTTTACCCAAAGTGCCCGCTTACTTAACGTTAGCGTTAGCCTCTGATCGTTCCACTTTCTTTTTGCTCAGATAATTTTAGCGAGGTTAATACTGTCATAACTACGACGTAATTTAACATTTCTCTGTGATTCGTTTGGAACATGAGACTAGCTAATTCTTAGGAGAACGAATGGTGTGGACGTTGAGTTCATACACACACAAGACAATCTGTTTAAAATGTGTGAGTAGTTTTTTTTGTGAAGTTCCGATGTTTGGCAACGTTTGTGATCATTTACTTAAAAAAACATAACCTCCTTGCAGGAGGTAATTACAATATGTGAACTGAATTTTCATGATGTGTTTCTGTTTTCAGAGCGAGGGACTGTTTTTACAGCCGACGGTGGCAGGTGTGAGATTTGTTTTTTTTTAAATAAGTGCCTTTAAATGATGTCTCCACAGAGTGATGACGTTTGTCTGTAGGCGTGACGTGAAAGTCTCTTCAGCTGATGTCAACACAGACCTTATTTCAGCCATCTAACCAAAAACACACTGACTTCAAGACAGACAACAGGAGGTGCTAACATGCTAACGTAATCCAAATGTCCAGCCTCTGGACTTGCTGACTGAGCCCTCGCTGACTTCAGTCGTACGTACTGTGACGAGTTCACTGTCATCATGTAACGTCTGCGAGGGCAGACACAGCAAGCCGCTGATTTACAACCCTCAGGACTGTTTTACTTGTTGCCATGGAGACGTTCAAGAAACTTTATTGGCATATGCGCGAGGTGAGCAACTCCTTTGGAATAACAGCCGCCATTTTGGTGTCTGGTGTCTAGTTAATGATAAAGTCTATGCCTGTGGATTTTTACGATGAACTCGATTGTTGAACGTGAGTCATTTAAATTTTTACTTGACTTCTCATCTTCTTCTGTTTTTTTTTGTTATTGTTGTGGAATAAATTAACTCCCATTAAACCACCTGACTCAGACATCATAGCGCTCTGAACTCATCTCTGAGTTTCCACTTCCTCTAATGTTGCGTTCACACCGGGCGCAAATAAAACAACTCGCACAAGTGGATTTCGTATAAAGTCAACATAAAGATGCGAATGACACGAAATTCCTGAATTAAGCGGTGCGAATGAAGCAAGTAGAGCGATTTCACATCATAGGCTTATTCACGAGGGTTGAAAAAACTGAACGCAAGCGACCAGTTCGCGCCACGATAGCCAATCAGCATTGAGATCCTCTGGAGACGTATGATGCCGAGAACGTACCTGCGGAAGTTCATTCATCGATTCAGTAATTTAATAATGAAGCGGATCAACACAAAATATTCTGGTGTTCAAACTGCTCCAAGTAACATGATGTGAAAATTCACATTGTGTTTGTAGTGAACACAGCATAATGTTGTTTGTGTGCCTGGTGCAAATAAAACAATTTGCGAAAGTGAATTAGTAAAATAAAGTCAATGTAGAGACACGACTACACGCTAAGTCCTGCTGGGCAGCGTGATGGATGCGATGGACATGTTGGACGCAACGCAAATGACGAAAAAAGTGCGAATAAAGCTGCATGAATGAAGTGAGTAGCGCCTATTTACGAGAGCTGAAAAAAAACTTCACCAACCAATTTGTGCCACGATAGCCAATCAGCATTGAGATCCTCCGGGGACGTATGGCGCCAAGGAAGTACCAGCGGAAGTTCATTCATCAATTTAGTGATTTCACGCACGTATGACATGAGTTTGCGCATGAAGTGAGTCATCAGAAAATATTCTAGTGTTCAAACACAAAAATTCGGTTGGTGTGAGCACAACATGACACATCCATTAGTTTAACTGTTTCACCGTGTTTTTATCTTTTCTAGTGCTGCTTCATCATCTTCCTCTTCCTCACAGCAGGCAGGAGATGGACACCTTGGTGGTGGCTTCAGGGATGGTGTCTGATGAGGGACAAACAACATGGCAGCTGCTTTATCTCAGCGTCAGGTGAGGAAATCTGGATGTTGGACCAAATATCTACCACAGTCTGTTACACATGAACATAATGTTCACAGTGCAGTGTGGAATATAGCAAATAATATTTTTACAATATGCGGCACAATTTATTAGATACTGACACTTTTGATTCAGTTAAGCATCATATTTTTTAATGCGTGGTCACCGAAGTTTGTATTTTGTTTACTGTAAATTATCAGATTTCTTATATATTTTATTTTTCAGTGTGTTAAAGTTTGTTCTCCCCAGAAAAACAGATAGAGTCTCAGTTCACCTGCTCGTTAGTTAGTTGTGTTTTGTTTCCCTCACCTCTGTCCTTCAGCGAGTTGATGTACGCCTCGATGAACTCCTTCTCTCCGCCGTCCTTTTTCACTTCCTCCTTTTTCCGCTGACTCCACCTCTTCCTCTTGTTTTTCCCTTTCTTCTTCTCCTCCTCTTCTTTCTTCTTCTTCTCTTCACTGGCTCGGCTGTCGTACAGTCGGATAAACCTGCCGGAAGATGTTTGGTCAGCTGATCAAAACAAGAAATGTGTTGTGTATTAGATGTTGGTGTGGTTTGTGTACTTCATATTTTGTGTACCTGATGATTTGTGTACTTGATGTCAGAGTGTTTTTCTTACTTGATGTCGGGGTTTCTGCACAGTTTGGTTGGGATGCAGTTGAGCTCATCGCCGCTGACGACGATCATCTTGAGCGTGGAGATGTTGGTGAGACAATGAGGGAGGTACGTCAGCTGATTCTTATGGACTAAGAGTGTGACCAGCTGCTCCAACCTGCACACACACACACACACACACACACATACAGAGAACTTTATTTATACAAACATTAGTTTTCTGTTAATTTCAGTGCAGATTTTTTTCAGCAATATTAAACCTAAGATCTAAAAACGTAACGGAGAGATGCTATGCATGGTTAGCTTAGCTTAGCTTAGCATAACGACTGGAAGCGAGGGGAACACCACACAGGTGGTGATGGCGTCATCAGTTACCTGTCCATGTCCTGCGGCAGGTCGGTCAGACTGTTGTTGCTCAGGTCCAACAGCTGCAGGCTGCTCATCCTCAGAGCGCAGATGGGGATCGATATGAACTTGTTCTCTGCGATGTCCAGGTGAACCACCTGCTTCAGGCTGCTCAGCTGATGCAGTGACATCATCATTATCAACACAGTGACATCATGATCATCAACACAGTGACATCGTCATAATAAAACTGACCCTGATCTGACAAAGTCATCATGTGTTGGCTGATACCGTTTTCTGTCCGTCTGTTACATTGACATCAGCCCCGTAAATGGAACATTTACATTTAACAGCTATCTGACCCTATAAAAATTAATTGAACATTTTATGTTTTTTGTTTTTTTCGGGAGCTGATGATGGAAGTAGTGAAGGAGAGAGCCATCTTGTTTCTTTTATTTTAAAACCATAACCAAAGTGATGAAACTCTAATTTGCTGCTGTAAGTGTCGAACTGTTTCTCGGCTCTGAACGTTAAACTCTCAGCAAAACACGATTTCCAAAATGTCCGACTGTTCCTTTAACTTTTACAAATGAAGACGCAGATTGACAAAAATCAAATGATGAGTGAATCTTTCAGAGTCGAGTCTCTGATGAAGTTTTCTATCTGTAGATTCATTTAATGAGCCGAGCTCTGAAGCGACCAAAGGATGGGTCGTCTCATCTCCTCTGTCTCACCTCAAACGGCAGCTCCGACAGGTTCAGGTTTCCCGTCAGTTCAAGTCTCGTCAGGTTCTCGCAGTTTCCGAGTTCTGGTGGAACTTTGCTCAGACGGTTGTAGCTGACGTTTAATTCCTTCAGACAGGTCAGTTTACCTGAGGACAGACGAGACTGTTTGTTCTTCAGTGACACAAATGATCTTCAACATCAGGGTGACATCATCTGTTATCATCATCTGTCAGACTCTGATTAAAGAAGAAAAACTAAAGAATCAAATTGACTTAAGAATCTGCAGCTCAGTTTGGTTTGGGACTGAAAAGCAAATCTCCTCTAAAACTTTCTCATATGTGAGATCTCATGTTTCTTCCTCACCGATTGCAGGTGGCAGCTCGGCGATGGCGTTTTTGGGGATCTCGAGCACGGTGAGCTGGGTGAACAGACGCAGGTAGTCAGGCAGCCGGCTGATCTTTGTCCCTTGGACGTGCCACTCTTTCAGGTAGGTCATCCACTGCAGCTCCCTCGGGAAGTCCTGCACAAATATTCACTCATTATTATCTGTTATTTTCTGTCACATGAACATTGCAGAGCGTGTTAACGTACCATCCACTGATCTCCGTCCAGCTGGAAGATGAGTTTGTTCTGCTCTGGATCTTTCTGTTCCTGCTCGTCTGTGTGATCCTCCTGCCCTGATTCTGACAGATACACGACAACAAATACACAACACATGGTCAGATAATACACATACACAACAACACATCATCAGCAAATAAACATATAAACCATCATCATCCTCACTGTGACCTCGTCACATGTCCATGTTTGGTCATGGACTTTCCACGTCCACATATGACGTCCAAGGTACCCTGGGTGTGTTGGTTGTTGACGTTCTGGGACGCCGTGTCAACTTCAGCCTGTTACATGCATTGTCTGTTTTCAAAATACACTTCTGTTTTCACAGGAAATGTACAGTTTGATACAGTCTCTTTCAAAATAAAAGCACTAAGATGGTACAACACAAAAAACAAGACAAAACACGTGGTTGGGTTTAGGAAAAAAGGACAGGGTTGGCTTTACAATCTTACAGGGTGCCAACACAGCTCTCCTGGGTTTATAGTCGGTGGTTGTTGGACCCATCCACCACAACTCCCACCCTGCTCAGAATTTCGCCGCCTTAACTTTTGTTCTTGTCTCGCAGCATTACGCCCTGACAATGCAGAGCGCCATTAAAGTATAATGGCAACTTGGCCGTGTTTCATGCCGATGTCAAAGGATGGCTTTTTTTGTCAGCGTTAAATGGAGCGTGAGATGGACAGGCGGTTCAGCACGGCATCATCAGTGATGCAGCCCTGGCACGGCACTGTCGTGGTGACAAGGGAGCTGAACCAGAAGGCAAAGCTCTAGATTTTTTGATTCATCTATGTCCCAGATCTCACCTATGGTCATGAGGGTTGAAGATAACATCAGAGCTGATGATTTAAACATTGAGGAAGAGATGGAGAAGATGAGCTCCAGCTACGATCCCTGACCACATCAACAAGCACAATCATCTCAGCATGCGTATCTACATCAGAGGCAAGCGTGGAGGAATCAAACACCGGATGTGATATTGATAACTCGGATCTTTCTGCTGAACAGGCATCCGGCTAGCCTTTAATGAGGCGTTGGAAAATAAACTGGACAACCTCTATGTTGCATCAGTTTCCAACAAAACATCAGAAACTGTGACATCCTTTGTTCCAGCGAAACACGACCAAATCCTGAACGACTGTATTCACCCCGGTGACTCTTTGTCTCATGCAGATCTGACAGAGAGGAACACTCTGAATCAGTGGTTCCCAACTGGTGGGTTGCGGTCTTAAAGTGGGTCACGGGTCCATTTTGAATGGACCACAATTGACTGGCCAACGAGTCAAGTTTGTAAAAAAATACATTTTGTTTTGAAATCCAGTGAATTTCCAGCACAGAGCTTTTATTTCAAAGTGTTGTTTCCTGCCGTAGAGTCAGTGACTTACAGGCAGCTACTTCACAGAGAGAGCTAACTAACTCGACAACATGTATGACGCTGAATGTATTAAATTGTGCGGACCTTGAACTGAGGACTAAGGAGACATCTGGACCGCATGGCTGAACCAGGTGGGAACCACTGCTCCAAGGATCCTCTCAGCCCTCGAGTGTCTCCTTTGGTCTGAATCAGGGACTCATGTTGTTCCAAAGTTATATAATTGCCTAGAGATGGTTCGTGTTCTCACGGCAGCATTTACAAGAGGACCAGATCAAATGCCTTGTGTGAGAAAGCTGCTCTTGATTGGTCAGAATTTCCATGTGGGAAAAATCCAGGAAGTAAAGCAAACGTTGAAGAAGAGTACACTTGCAAGATAAATGTGACACTTTCTAATGTCACAATGGAGGGACAACTACGCAGGTTAATTTTAGCGCTGCTCATCGTGGACTATATTGCTGTCATTGTTCATTTTAGTCAAAGCATACAGTTTGAAAACGAGGCGCGGCTCCAACTAGAAAACAATGTTTTGATGCATTGGATGTGCTGAATGTGCATATTAAGGCAGTACAGGAGGAGGTGCACATTAATAATCCTCCAGGACTGTAACATGCTCATGTTTAACCCAAACAATGTGTCATGTGACTGCAGTTGCTTCACATCCAGGTCGGAACACCTTCTCACCACAAACCAACCGCACCAGAGTTCCTTTGGAACCGGACTGAGACCACCTCTTCAAGAAGGTCTCGGTCCGGTTGGTTTGGTGTGTTCACACCTGCACAATGAACTGCACTGAGGGGGCAAACCAGCTGGAGTTAGACTGAACCGAACCAAACAGGACAGGTGTGACAACACCTTTAATCACTGCTACACCTCTCTCAGAGGTCACTGCAGAACGGGAGGGGCGGCCATCTTGTTGAGGTCCACATATGTAAATAAACTACAAGGAGAGATGGACGGACTGACGGATGTTTACCTGTGTGTGGCTGTAAATGAGGTGACAGAGTAGATCTCTCCAGGTACTGATGCAGCAGGGTGCGTTCCTTGCTCTTTAGTGTCTTACAGTAGATACGATACTGCCACTGCTGGTCGATCCTGCAGACACACAGATGGACACACAGACATGTTAATGAAGCATCTTTGGCTCCATATTAACGTCCGATTAGATTTCAGACAGACGGAATGTTTCTTTTCCAAACTGGTGACCTTTGTGCCGACCTGTCGTCTCTGTGGACAAACAGCACTGATGTTTGTGTATAAATAGAAGTCTGTGTGTTCATATTACTAAAATCAGCCGTGACCCTCACGGTCCATGACAAACAACAGTCAGCTGTGTGTGAGTCCGACTGAGACATTCAGGAGGTTACGTTTACTCCACAGAGGAATGTTTACAGAGAGAGGAGATCTGAAAACTATAAAACTAAGTTTAGACTCATGTGAGATGGTGCATTTATTTTTTAATTACATTCTAGTTTCATTGTGATAATTAATTTTTCTTTTACATGAAAAAAAAGTCATAACAATTGGTAGCTGGCGAACTACTCATGGTGCGTTCAGGTGCTCCTCAGCAGCTCTTTAAGACAAAAATATTCCTAGTTCATCTTTTCACGTCATCACAGAGTGAACAGCAGGTAAAGTAGAAATACTGCAGTATGACAGTACTCCACTAGGAGTAAGGATTACTTTGGCAGCGCGCTCTGCTCGATCCTCTCCTGCTCCTTCTTCTGTCTCTGTCTGTACTTCCTCACTCTGACCTCCCACAGTCCTCTGATCAGAGAGACGTCGCCCACAGGCACATCCAACCTCGTCCCCAGACCCATCTCTGCTCCTGGAGGAGGAGGAGGAGGAGGGGTAAGAACAAGAAGAAGAGGAGGAGGAGGAGGAGGAGGCAAAAGAAGAAGAACAAATAGGAGGAGGAAAAAAGAAGAAAGAGGAAGAAGAATGAGGAGGATGAAGAGAAAGAGGGACAAGATGAAGAATAGGAAGAACAAGAAAGAGGAGGAAAAAGAGGAGAAGAAAAATGTGAAGTGGAGGAAGAAGAGGAGGAGATCATCATCTCAAGATAAATTTCCCATTTGATTTTGTTTGAGTTTTATTTTCTTAATTTTCCTTTTCCACATGAAGATTAAAAGCTTTTAATCTGAAAGTTCTGACAGGAAACAGAAACAGTTGAATCTGATGAAACTCTGAAAGAAGAGATCCTGTCGTCTTTTGGTCAGAAGACATAAACGAGATCTTTCAGGACTTCAGGAGCTTTTAGATCCTCAAACTGAGTTTAAATCAAATTAAAATGTTCTGAAGTCAGACAGATCAAACTTTTATTTTATTACTACTACTACTAATAATAATAATAATAAATGTTGTTTACACGGCACCTTTCATACAAGACATGCAGCACAAAGTGTTTTACAGTAAAGGCAGTATGAGCTCTGAGTGCTTCACATAAAACGGACAAACAGGCAATTTAATATAAAAGGACATTAAAACACAGTTTAAACATGGATTAACTGATTTTAAAAAAAATCATAAGGTTAAATAAACCATAAAAAGTCATAAAATCATAAAATTGTAAAATATGAAATAAAGATTTTAAATGAGTTGCAGGATTTTATCTGTAAACTTCACCCAAATAAAACAAACTGCCCAAATATTAACTGTAACAATAATTTTTTATCAAACGTACTTTAGTGGTGATCAGAATATAAATGTGTTCTCCTCTGTACTTTACTTCCATGTGGGTTCACGTTCGGTACAGATAATAAAATAATCAGATATCCGAGGATGACGGTCTAAAATATAAAAACACATTAATATGTTTTTATATCTGTGGATCACCGACAGGAACTGATGTTGGTTATTTACAGTTAATTATATGAAGATTAATCGAATCTGTGAATAAACGACTGAGTGTAAATTTATTAATTTAATTTTTTTAACATAAATATAAAAATAGAATTTTATGTTTTGAGAGAATAAAACTAACAGTTGATGTTTCTATGATGAGACACTGATGATGAGGTAAAAATAAAAGCGCTGCTCTCAGCGACAGATTCAGTCACAGTTTGGACAGAAAGCTGAGACACACTGAGACTTTAACTCAGTTTGACCGGCTGATCGTCCTCTGATGTTCTCACGTTAATACAGATATTTTTACTTTTTATTTCTGTTCCGTAACTTTATGTTGCTGCCTGTCTCGGCCGGGACACTCTGGAAAAGGGATTTTTAATCTCAAGAGGTTTTTGTGGTTAAAAAAATGAATTGATCCTCAGAGAAAATAAAAACAGACAAGTCAAGTTCACTTTGTGATGAAATGATGAAGAGGAGGAGGTGCTGTCGTCTCTCCTGTCAGCCCTCCGTACAGCAGCTGAGTCTCATCACTCAGCAGATGTTAATATGACAAACATGACACAGGCTCATGTTTCTGATGAGGACGCCAACATCACGACTTTTACTTTGAAAAACTGTGAACCAATGACTTTTGGCCGAGTCGTGGGCGGTACAGCCGAGTCACCACAAAAACCACAAATATGTTACAGCTGTACGTGTCATACACTGCAAATTACAACGTGTAACGTAATATTTCACAGTAGATTACATTATTATCACTTTACAGGCTTTTACTGTGATATTTAACCAAATTCATAATCTTATTGTGAAATTCATGAAGCTAGATCTTACTGTCTTAATCACAGTAGTATGGAGTTTAACTCTTTGATAACAGTGACATACAGTAATTCTACAGGATCATTCTGCTAATTCACAGTAATCAGATGTACATAAACTGTGAAGTTACAGTCAAATACAGTTATTTACAGGACCATACGGTCATGTCAGTAATGTAACGGGTTTTAACTGAGATTACAGTTAAATATATTAATTTCACAGGAGTATCCTGATAAATTACAATAATAGAGTTTAACTGTGAGATCACAGTGACATACAGGAACATATTCCTAAATCACAGCGATCAGATGTACATTAACTGTGAAGTTACAGTTAATTTTGGTCTTGGAGCAAGTTAGCTAGCTCGCGAATGCTAACATTAGCTTGCTAGCTAACCGTGGTGTGCACAGGATGGGCGGTCGCCCCCCCTCATGGCCCAATTGTTGAAAAACGCTCGCTGAAGTGCTCTTTTTTTCTTTTCGCCCCTGCCCTTCAAAAATTCTGTGCACTCCACTGCTAGCTAACACTCACATTATTGTTGGCCGTACCAAATCATCACAGACCCAACACACATCACTGACGGCTTCTATTCAACAGCAGTTTTGGCTCTTAGTGTAAAAACATGTCGAACTAACAGGCTCCTTGTTGTCTCCAGCCGCCATGTCAACAGGTGAGAGGTTTGTGATGTAGCTTCTGCTACGTCACAAAGATGGCAACTGTTGAAGGTGACGTGTGTCCATCATTTTGCACTCAACTGTTAGGGTCCAGGTTGAAAACTACCTTAACAACCATGTAAGTACATTTTGCCGACACAAACTTTGACCTCAGTCAAGTTTTAAATGCAGGACTTTTACTTGTAGTGGAGTATTTCCACAGTGTGATATCAGTACTTTTACTGTAGTAAAATATCAGAATACTTCTTCTTCACTGTCGTACACTTTACAGTGAACTGTGTCAGAAACTGAAGGAAGGATCGGCTTTAATTTGAGTGGAGATGTTGATGATCCCCAGAGGCTGAACCGCAGTGACGCCACCAACAGGTCAGAACACTTAACGTCACAATAGGACAAAACTGGTGTCAGCCTCAACATGCTAACAGTTAGCATGGCAGGCCGACATGTTAACCGTTAGCATAATGAAATGCTAACATGCTAAATACAAGAAAGCAGGTGGAACTCAACTTCCCATGATTCATCAGTCATGTTTACAGTCTGTCTGCTGGCTGGACGACAAAACTTCATCCTGCTGATTTAGCTTTGTAACTTTAAGAGCTGCTAATCCTGCTGCTACAGAGACACACACCCCGTTTATCTGGTTATTATAACCAGTTCACTGTGAACATAAAATAATATAATGTGACATGATATCAGACAAAGATTCCTGTTTCCTTACCTGTGAGCTCCCGTTAACGTCCTGCTCTCTGCTGCTTGTTTACTGACATCTGACTGTGTGTGTGTGTGTGTGTGTGTGTGACACAGCATGCTATTTTTACCAGCTGAGCTGTGACACCCCCCCCCCCCCCCCCCCCCCCCCCCCCCCCCCCCCCCCCCCCCCCCCCCCCCCCCACACACACACACACACACACACAGCCCTGCTGTGTGTCACATGATGCTGCTGCCTCGCATACAGACATGAATCTGGATCGTGACATCAGTCCCAAAAACTCAGTGAATAAATAAATCAGATGTACTTTTATTCTGAAGCAGCAGAGAAAGTGTTCAGATATTTTACTGCAGTAAAAGCAGAAGCACCCAGTATAGAAATACTCAGAATTACCCAGCCAACACTTACGTGGGCCCCATGTGGGTACAATGAGCTGGAAATGGGCTCATTTATTAAATCCTCTGTATGGTGGCCTTTTTGGACATTCCTTTAAAGTTAACCTTTAATCCTGAAATCAGGGTCAAAGGGTAACTTTTAAGGAATGTCCAAAAAGGCCACCATACAGAGGATTAACCCTTTAGATGTGGGAAACCACATGACCTCTCCTCTGGCAGCTCCTTCAGGACAAACCACAACACTTCAGATGGTTTTTTAAATTTACTTGATTGAATATTTTTTAGGTTTTAATGTTCCAAATGTCAGAGTAAATATTTGTGCAGTACCTGAAGCATCAGGACAGCTGTGTGCTGAGCTCCTTCTATAAATATCCGTCTGCACGACCTTTACAGTCGACACAATGTAAAGACACAAACAGCACATGTCCTCACCTCTTTAAATACATGTATTCATACTGATGGTATGTTCAACCTCCCTGTGTACTGCAGGACTACAGATAGTAACTGCAGGACTACACACAGTAGCTGCAGGACTACACACAGTAGCTGCAGGACTACACACAGTAGCTGCAGGACTACACACAGTAGCTGCAGGACTACACACAGTAGCTGCAGGACTACACACAGTAGCAGGAGAAGTATTCACAGTTTACATATGCTTATTAACAGTGATCAGAGGCTGGTCTCAGGTCAGCCTCAGTCTGCTGTAGTTCTCCTGCTCCTCCACATGGAGGCACTGCCACACAGACAATCACAACATCTAATCTAACAACAGTGTCATACACGTTCAGAAACATGTCATGAAAATACATTTCAACTATAAATAATGTTCTCAGCTTTAAGGATAAATTATTAAGTCCTGCATTGAAACTGTTCCCGCTGTAACAGTACAGAAGTGTAAAACACATGTCAGAGCACCTGGAGGAGACCCACGCTGACACAGGAAGAACATGTCAGAGCACCTGGAGGAAACCCACGCTGACACAGGAAGAACATGTCAGAGCACCTGGAGGAGACCCACACTGACACAGGGAGAACATGTCAGAGCACCTGGAGGAGACCCACGCTGACACAGGGAGAACATGTCGGAGCACCTGGAGGAAACCCACGCTGACACAGGGAGAACATGTCAGAGCACCTGGAGGAAACCCACACTGACACAGGGAGAACATGTCAGAGCACCTGGAGGAAACCCACGCTGACACAGGGAGAACATGTCAGAGCACCTGGAGGAAACCCACGCTGACACAGGGAGAACATGTCAGAGCACCTGGAGGAAACCCACGCTGACACAGGGAGAACATGTCAGAGCACCTGGAGGAAACCCACGCTGACACGGGGAGAACATGTCAGAGCACCTGGAGGAAACCCATGCTGACAGACAACATAAAAACTCTTCACAGACTTTATACGTGACCCAAATCATACAGGAAGACATGCACATACAGGATCTCCTTCGTTTCCAGCCATTTTCCTTCAAACTTCAATTTTATTTCTAATAAAGGTAACATTCCAACACAAATGATTCCTGTAGAAATATACGTCATATCTACCTCCCGTGCAGCTCTGTGGCCCACAGGGAACAGTGTGATTTATTTCTCATGTGTTCTAACCCTCATATTATCTTTAAGATCCAGTGGGCGTCTCTGGCTGCTGATTCTAACCTGTATGTTATGGTCCAGATGCAGCAGAGCTCTGTAGCTGCACATCCAAACCGTGTGTTATCTTGTTGATCCAGCAGAGGTCTCTATCTGCCTCCTGAGAGTCTCTGCAGCTGCCATTAATCGTCTCATCAGGCTGCAGGAGGACATCAGAGCTTCATCCAGCACTTGTGTGTGTGTTTCATCTCTGCTCCTCTTCACTTTACATTCACTCTCAAAGGTAAATATTTGACGTCTTACAGCATTTAATTTATTGAACGTTACTTTGATTGAAAGTTACTTTAATTTCACTCACAGAACTTCAGATGAACTTATTAAATATGAAGCGTTGTTACATATTAAAGTCCCCGCAGACAGTCACAGGTGTTCTCAGTTCTGCTGCTGATTCGAGCTTCTCAGGCTGAAGCTGTGCTGATTCACATGACGTCATCACGTTCGTATGAGAATAATAAAACAGAAAATTCCTCCAAAACCAAACTAACAGCAGATCCTGTGACATGCCCTCTGCACCACAAACAGACTCAGGCTAAAGTGAAGAGAGGAAATGCACTCGGCCTGCTTGTTGCGCACTCTGTAGTTTGGAGAGTTTATTCATTCATTCATTTAGAAAACAGCGTTTTTCAGTTTAGTGTAACGCCTGGCTGAATTTGAACATTTGTTTAAAGCGTGTTCAGTGTGGAATTGTTTTCTTTGTTGTTGCCTGATATAAATAAATGATAAGTGTAGACAGTGAATGTTGAGCAGCTGCTGGATGCATATAGACCATATGATACCTCATATGTAAGTTAGACAGACGTTTGACATGTAATGTATGTGCATCAGGCCTCCAGAGCTCCTGGTGCCAGCAGACACATAGAGACCTTCCAGCAGGGCGCACTTTGCCAACGCACTACATTTGATTCTCTCGTGTGTGCAAAGTGTAACTGCCCGATAAGATGCTGATGCACGACACTGCTGCACAATCTGGAAACAGACACAGAAGCAGGGAAACATTTTGGGTAGTTTTCATTCAAGTGAGCGGCTGCCATCAATGGGGGAGGCATGTCAAATAAATTTTTTATGTTTTCTTCAAACATTTTTGGTGATTTTCCTTTCACAAAGTTCTATTTTATTTTATTTTATTTTATTTTTCTTTAAACCTTTTTTTGTGAGTTTTTTTTTCTTCAAACAATTTTGGCAATTGTTTTTTACTTAAGTTTTTTTGT